TAAACACTGAGTTCGGGAAGGCAAAATTGTCATCTGCATTAGTAAATGAGGCCAAGCATAGTCCCTGCTGGCTTCGCATTTTGCAGCTCTGAAAGTGGGTATTCAACAGTGGGACAACTTGAAAGGACTGCCCTGAGGCAGGCATAGTGCAGGCAGCTGTTTTGCTGGCTTTGGTTCTGCCACTGCACAACCACTCTGACTTGCATACCTCAAAAATGTTACAATCAGGAAAGCTGACCTGTCCATTTCTAATTAAGCTTAAAAAAAAAACCAACTATTAAAGCTCTCGTCTCAACAATAATTATCCCTAATTATTTTACAGTTAAAGTTCTAGAATCTTAGAGTTTTAATTAATTGAGACTTTATAGTCTGCAAAGTTGTATTAAAATATGCATCATCATTTGAATAATCAGCAAGCTGCCACAAGCAGTTATTGTCTCCTCACAGCAAAGTCCGTGAACACTCATGTAACAGTTGGTCAGCTGGATGCTTAAGTGCTTTGCCAAATCCCGGACACCATCCCTGGCAGAGGTTGAACTGTGTGCCACATCTATCTACTAAGCCAGTTTCTGGTTCTTGCAGTATGCTTCAAAATGGTGTAGGGCCATCACCCAGCTAGGATGTAGGTGTGCAAGGAGCTGTCGCCAACACAGTTCTCAGCAGAGATTAAGTATTAGATCTTCTGTACAAAGCTATGTGGTTCCGTTTTAACAATTTATCTTTTGTTGTCCAGATGAGCACTATGCCAGGACTTCCTACAAGACCCTGTTTTTATGATATAGACTTGGACCCATTGTCAGGAGAAGTAAATGGTCTCTTTTGAAAAGAATTAACCAAAGGTAGGTGCCACCTTCAGGTTAGAAGGGTTTCAGTCTTTGGGCTTTATTTCTCAACTTGAGATAATGGAGTTAAGCCAATCCCATATTATGCCGTATGTTTCCAAATGACATATGATTATAATTCAGCCTGAAAGTTGCCTGCAGACTATATAATAGTAATTAAATTTATTTTTCTTTTTAGCTCCCAGAAGAACACCTGATGAGTCATGTAAACGGAACTATGCCCTGATCTTTAAGTCAAAACAAGATATGACTGAGCTTACAGTGCAAGAAGTGACTGGAAGGAGGAGTGCTGAAGGATCAAACACTTATTTTTAATCCATAATAATTTTTAAACTACTGTGTTCCAAGCTAGCTGAAACTAAGTATACTAAAGTATACTTTGTGTACAACCTTCCTGCTTCATAATTGTAGCTGAAGCATAATACAGAAACTTGGGTTTAGTGACCTCTTGATTCAGTGAGATGATTTTAATAATTAAAAATCCTGAAGCTGGTGCTTTTTGGAACAGTCTTGCGACTTAGTTGCCTTAACGGTAGAGTTTCTGTGGAATGTATTATCTTTGGAAGTCTTGTGCACTGTAATATTCCTACTTGCTGTACTGAATTCTATATCCCTGTCTCGCACTGTGAGAGAATTGGCTGTGTTATGAAATTGCACCAATTTCATTTAAAAGAGGGAACAAGGAGGAATACTTTTGCATGTCAGCTTTCTCTAGAAGTGCTCACCCTGGCTTCTGTTGTGGATTATTTCTGCAGACACCTGAGCTATATCAAATTTCTCTTTAAGAAAACCCGGCTATGACTAACAGATTGTATTTTTACTGGAAATTGAATCCCTGGGTATCAGATCTGTAGAGACTGGATCTCTAGGCCATGTCTGTGGCTTTGACCAAATGTCTTTTGAACCCTTTTATGCTCAACAGTAAGTACGGTTACACCGACAAGCCTTGTTTCCTAAGGTACCTTTTTGGTGAACAAAGACAATGTGAGTAGTGATCAAGTCATTTGTAGTAGGCTTTGTCAGCAGGCCAAAAATCATTTTGTAACAAAAATATAGTTGCTGCCAGATTTTTAACTAATACAAATAAATTGATAAATACTTGCAGTGCTTCTTGGGTTTTAATGTATGCGCTGAGATTAATGAGGAGAATTTATTTCTGTGATTAACTGCATACCGCGGCAGTCCCAGTATTGACAATTATAAGTGATTATTGCAGTAATAAGTTGCCTGCAATGCACCACTATGTGTTCAATTTTCTGTGTTTATTTTTGTTTCTTTTCCTATATGGTGTGTGTCATCTATAGGAAATAAACTACCTGAATTATTCAGTGGGTTTGAGTTACTCGCAGTTGACTGCAAAAGATCTGAATTAAGATGCTAGTTTTATTGACTGCCATGCTTGCAGCTAAATATTTTTGGCTTTCCCTTTCTTTATAGACTTGCCAGGTCCATCTACTTTGATCTACTTCAATCTAAAAACGTTTGGATTTTGGTGAGAACTGGGAGATTGGTGGTGTAGGTGTGCACCAATGTAAGGGTGCATGTGTAGTACACAGATGCTATATATAGAGAGAGCAAGTTATTCAAGAGGGGAGAATAATTATATAAAAATTACCTGGTTGTCACAGAAGCAGAGACAGAGTAATTTAAACTGTCGTAAGAGCATTTGAGAGACATTCACAGCCCCCTAAAATTTCCTTTTTGATGGTGTTCAGCTGAGAAGTTACCGGCAGTCAGGTTTTCTAGGGTGCATGAAGGCCCTGGGGTCAGAAGGGACATTCCCCAGTTATTGCACCAGTCCAAATGCCTGGCTGAAAGTGCCTCTTCACCTGCAGCACCTTGGCGAAGCCTTCCCTTGCAGCAGATTGCCGCAGCTGACGCTGCCAAGACTGCTGTCAGTTCCTACGTTTCATCTTCCTTCTCTCATCTTGCAGAGGCTTCCCTGTTGCACTGCTTTCCCGCAAGTGCTCTGTTCCACCTTCGTTTGATGCTTATGAAAGATGGGATAAGTGCAAATTTATGCTAAGATTAGCCTCCTTTTAGTTCAGCATGAGATCATAGACATGTGCTTGAGAGAGACGGTTCAAGAGGTCGCTAGTCTGCATCCTGCAGGGAGGCAAAGCAGCAGCTCAGGCACTAACTGTCGGAGGGTTTGGTATGCACGGGGGGGACAGGTGGTGACAAAGTGTAAGGGCCAGCAGCAAATAATGGAAAACAGCCCTCAGCATCCCTAGAGGTGAGTGGCAGATGCTTTTCTAACCTGCACTTTAAGCCTAGTAGGAAGTCCCTACCCTACGTCTTGCAGGACTGTTTCATAAATAACATTGGAGTGTTTTTAACTTTCCATTGTGACTAAGTATGGCAGTTAGTTCTTGCCCTATCAAATTGGACACAAAGAATACTTAAATTTCTTAACTGAATGTTGAAAGGTTGTCTTCCCTTCCTGTTGCCTAGAGAAAAAACTAATTATGTACAAATTTGTTTTCTGTAGGCTATCTGTGGGCCCAGAGCCCTTAGCTGGTGTTATGGCCATCCATTCCCCTAGCTGTGCTGTAATAAGAGTCTTGCATCACTTCATCTAAGAAACAATACAGATTTTTTGACTAGCAATGAGGACAAAACAAGGTGTTACTTGGCTGGGTTGCTGCACATCGTTGGTGTGTACCAGAAAGACCCTCAGAGCCTACGGAGGGGCTAGGTTCTTTCAAGCATGAAAGCTTACCCATCATCTGAGCAGATCCTCTGCTTTTGCTGCTGAACCTGTTATCCATTACCCTTGTCTCATACCCTTCAGTGCTACCATCTTCCCCTGAAACGACAGGAATAATTGAATTTTGTGTGAGGTGGTTTCAAAGGGGATTGATTAGAACCTGCCTCCTTCAAACCACCCTGGAGGTAGCGCACGCACGTTAGCAATCCTCATTACCGCTGCCTGCCTCCGCCTGGAACCAGGGGAAATATCCTCGCGCTGAGGGGCCTTGCTCAGCTTTAACGCAGAAGTGTATTGTAATTAGAACCCACTGTGCACCCCGTGGAGAGGAGCCGTTTCCAAATGAAGATTATTATCCTGCGTGAACGCAAGCAAACACATCTCTTAGGGGAGCTTTTAAAATGGCAATTCCTTGTGGTTACATGATACACACTTCTGTCCTACTGGTTGAAATTTCAGCCAAAAGAACCCCTTCTACCTTTTTCCTATGAGCACGCTAGGGAAGGGGGAGGCCATGTATATTTTTCTAAGGCTAGCCTACGCTGGAAGCCACTTGCAGGTTCCAAGTATGCTGCCTCGCCTGGTTTCTTATGTGCAAGCATGCTGTGAAGCAGTTAACATCCTTGAAACATTTGTGGGCGTCAGTAAGCTCCCCGTTGAGATGAATGGGGACATTCAAGCATCTCAAACTACGGTTTCATGTAGTTCTTCCACTGCGCTAGGTAGTCCTTTTTCCAGGGGCCCTCCCATCAATCGTAACAGCTGGAGATGCAATTTTTTAAAGTCAGATCTCAGTAGCTATGAAGAAAAAAGGCCCATGTGAAAGGGGTACTTATCTCTTATTTTGGGGCAAGGATTGGCCTAAATCTAGACCTGGCTGCCCTTACCACCAGCCCTAAATGCGCAGTGACCCAAACAGCATGGGCTTGATGCCAGCAAAGGTTTCAGGTGGGACAAAAACAGCTGTGAGGAGCAAGAGTCTCTTCCTTCCTGCACTGTCAGGACGTACCTGCTCTGCAAACGCCAGCAGCCCCTTCCTCCTGGGTGTGCTCTGCTCCCACCGAGCCTTTTGCTGCTCTTGGGATCCGAGTTGCAAACCGCAGCTCAGGCGCTGGGAGGACCTTGGCCTCGGCTGTAGTTTGCGGTTTGTGCATCTGCTGATGCTCTGCGCGACCTGGGAGGGGAAGAAGGGATGCTCGGGGAAGAGGGCGAGGGCTGCTGCCCTGCGAGCCTCAGGATGCCAGGAGGGAGGGATGCGTCCCCATAAGACGAGGGCATGCTTCCCATAAGAGCCAGGGACGCTGCCTGCCAGGAGATCCGGGGGCTGCCCGGTGAGAGGAGGGATGCTGCTCCCTTTTCCCCATCCCCACGCTCCCGGGGAGGCTGCGAGGCGGCTCCCCCCGAGCATCCCCGGTACCGAGGGCCGGTCGGGGGCTGCTGGGGCGGGGGCCGGGGGGCGGGGGGCTGCCGGCAGCGCCCTCCCCGCCGGCCCGGGGGGCGCGGCTGCAGCGGGAGGCGGCGGCAGCGCAGCCGCGCAGGAGCCGCGCAGGAGCCGCGGCCGGGCCGCGCAGCAGGTGAGGGGCGTGAGGGCGGCGGGGGGCGAGCACCGCGACGGGGACGGGGAGCGGGGGGCCCTGGGGGAGACCCCCCGCTTGGGGCCGCTGCAGCCCCGAGGAGCATCCTCACGTCCCCTCCGAGGGGTTTGGGGACCGGGGGGGCTGGTGGGGATGCGGCGGTGCACGGCGGCTCCCGGTCCGCGCTGAAAATCCCCCACCTATAAAATAAAAAAAACTTCCCGGGATGAGCCGGGCTGTGCCGGGAGCACCGGGTTTGGTGTCCTTCACACGTGCTTCTGGCCGCTGGATGCGTTTTGCGCTTCGGAACGAGCCGGGGAGAGGCAAAGCGGCGCGGTGGGGAAAGCCCCGGCCGGAGCCCGGAGCCCGGAGCCCGGAGCCCGCGATGGGGTCGGCGGCGGGGCCCCGACCCCGGCAGCGCTCCGGGAGCCGCGGCCACAGCCCCGGACGGCGCCGCCGGGAGCGGCCGCGGGAATTGTTCCGCTCCCCGCGGCGGGGCGCGAAGCGCTCCTCAACAATTTCCCCAAGTAGTCGAGACAGCCACCGAGAAGTTGGGCTGCTCGCTGCAATATGCGTTTTTACCTCCCAAAGCGTTCTGACGGTGGTTCGAGGCCTTTTTTTTTTTTTTTTTTTTTTTAAGGGTTACATACATCTTTCTTTTGATGAACACATGCAGTGTTAATTGAGGTTGCCATGGAAGGCATGCACGTAGTATAAATATGCTTCCTTCTAGCCATGTGATTTCTCTTTTGTATTCCACCAGCTTCTTCTTGTATTCTGTGTTTTGCATATTGTCATATGGTGCATTAAAGATAAAAATATCTGCTGTCTCAGAGTGTAATTTCCCTAGCTGGAACTATGAGTGCATATGGAGCTGTGGGGGAAAGATTTAGCTAACCGTAGGAGAAGAAAATATATGCGTGCATGTGTAATATATTTGCCATAATGTGGGCAATTAAAAAAATATAGCTGCTTCTGCCACGCAAAGTAGTATTTTCTGTGGTGGAACATCACTGGGTTGCCATAATAGTGGCTTTATTTTGCCTGTGCATGCTGATGCTCATTAGTGGAAAAAACTGCTGTGGTGCATCCTGAGGTAGAAATGCTTTTCCACCCTTCGTCTGCACCTCAGACTAAAATATTATGCTAAAAATACTTTTCAATACTTTAATTTTTGCCCTGCGGTTCTTAACATTTCTTTGTTATGTTACAGATCAGAGATGGAAGCATCGGCTGCACTTCGAGGCAAAGCTCACCTAACCTGCGGTGGGAACTGAAGCAGAAAGCAGAGGCAAAGTAGCAGCTGACCTTGTCACTGGGGGGCAGAGCACCGCCGCCGTTTTACTGTTGCTTCAAGCAAGTTCCTTGTGCAATGTGAATTGCAGGTGGCTCAGCCAACGCCGGTTCTTCCCAGGGTGAATAAAAATTGTTAACTCTTGGCTTGATTTGTCATCCTTTGGGGGAATAAAAAGCAGTGTCAGACTGTCTGTTACATGGTCATATTGTTAGACCACGCACAACCTGAAGTGGTTTATCCTGGAGGTGAGAGTGACTCTGGTCAGCGAAGCAAAGGAGAGCTGGTTCTTAAAGTCTGCCCAGAACTCCTTGGAGAGGTGATAAAGTGAGTAAGAAGACAAATGGGAGTTATAAAGTGGAGGCAATAGCTTTATCAAAATTTCTCTCTGCACACTGCCACATCAGCTTGTTAAAAACCAACTACAATTGTTTTGAGAACAGTATGGGAAAAAAGCCCTTTGAGCATCCCTGCAGCTCTTGTGTCTGATGCATTAACCAAGAAAACCGATCATACAGCACAGACAAAGAGAGGTGCAAATATGGCAAAGGCAGCTAAGGAAATTCAAATGGAGAACCCAAAAGAGCTGGAGACCCAGAGCGCAGGGACAACGTGCTCCCCGTCAGAAGAACAGGCAGAAAAACCCTCCATGCTCTGCTTCAAGAAGCGGAAGAAGTCCTGTAAGAAGGGGCTGACCGTGAAGGATGCATGCGAAGGAGCTTCTGCGGCCTCGGAGGAGAAAAGCCAGTGCATCGGCACAGACAAAGGGGAGGCAAAAGTTTCTGCTCAGCCACGATCCTCCAGAGGAGCCTGGGCAGCTATTAAAAGTCTCACAAGACCTCGGAGAAGGCAAAAATCCTCTTCAAGGAAGAAGGTGACCTCCGATTCCCAGGTGCAGCTGGAGATAGATGCTGAGGAGGGCGGCACACAAGGTTTCTCAAGGAAAAAGGCGAGCTCAGGTGTGAAGATGCCCTGCGTACGGTTCTCAAGAGGCAAGAAAAAGCGCAGCCTCTCTGAGGCAGTGGAGGAGTCAGAGGGCAGTGTCCAGGCGAATGAAGAGATGGGCATTTCGAATAAAGCCATTGAGGAGCTGGAGGACCTGGCCCCAGCAGAGGAGCCAAGCAAAGCTGAGCCCTCCAGCCCACTCCCTGTGGAGGAGGCCCGGGAGGACAAGGGTATGATAGAGGAAGGGGCTGATGCTGGTGTGAAGAGTGAGCCCTTGGCAGAGCCCAGGCCTGACATGGATGAACACGCAGAGCACACCACTCAGTCCGAAATCACCAGCTCGGAGGCAGAGGCAGTTGATGAACACGCAGAGCACACCGCTCAGTCCCAAATCACCAGTCCAGAGGCAGAGGCAGTTGATGAACACACAGAGCGCACCACTCAGTCCCAAATCACCAGTTCAGAGGCAGTTGATGAACATGCAGAACACACTACTCAGTCCCAAATCACCAGTCCGGAGGCAGAGGCAGTTGATGAACATGCAGAACACACCACTCCGCTGAAAATCACCAGTTCAGAGGCAGCTGATGAACACGCAGAAGACACCACTCAGTCAGAAATCACCAGTCCAGTGGCAGTTGATGAACCCATCCAGGAACAGCTGCCCGAGGGGAGTCCTCACCAAACTGCAGTGCACGTGGAAGAGAGGGAAGTCCCTGCTGAAGTGCCGGTTTCCACAGAGCAGCCCAACAACACTCCTGAAATCACCGAGGTGCAGGAAATAGCCAATATCTGCAAAGAGCTGCCTGAAGGGGGTGAATCAGAGGAGAACACAAATCTTCCTGAGGAGTCCAAAGCTGAAGAGACCGTAATGGATTTCAGTCAGTCAGCATTTAAAGATGAGGCAGCGAGCGTGCAGAGCAGCTCCAGCAACCAGGAGAAACCTGAAATCAACATGGGCACCTGTGTCGGTATTGTCATTACCGTCACTGAAGCTGTGGACTCTGACAACGACTCTGACCAGGACTATGAGCCGACCCTGGTTTTGCACCACAATAAGCAAAAAGGGAATAAAAAGTCAAGTGGGAGCTTTGATTTGGGTCAAAAAGGGGGCCCCGAGGCTGGCAGCAGTGCCCTGGCGGAGGAGAAAGGCCTGGGTGACCAGGGGCACAGGACTTCGGATCAGTACGAGTTGCTCCTCATAGAAACGGCGTCTTCCCTCGTGAAGGCAGCCATCCAGTCATCCATAGAGCAGCTGGTCAACGAGATGGCTCTGGAACAGAACAAACACAACAGTTTCCTGTGATGGTGGTGATGCCCCCAAAACAGGAGTAGGGGGAGCGTTTTCAAGCTGCTGTGGCCTGAGGGGGAGAGCAAGGAGGGCTCCTGGGGCCATGGTGTAGTTAGCTCTGCATGCCCGTGAAGTTGTGTGTATGTGTGTGTGAAACGGGTCCCGGGACGTGTGGCAGGCCCTGCTGTGCACAGGGCATCCCCTGGGCCTGGGGCTGCGGGCAGCACGACTGCCCATAGCTACAGGAAAATTAAGGCGTTGCAGTGTTTCTGTTTATTGGCATCTTTATGTTGAGGCCACGTTTCTGCCTCCATCCATTCCGTATTTCCCCACTGTTAATGGTGTAGGTGTGTACATACAGTTAGGGAAAGGTCTGAGGGGCAGCGAGTGCCTTCCTGCCCTGGGTTCAGTTGGGTGCACAGGGCTCAGCAGGTGATGGGACTGCAATGTGCAATGAAGACATTGAGGCCAAGCAGGCCAGGGCTGGCATTCAGTGTTGCAAAAGGGTTAAAAAACAGGGTCACCCCTGTGGTCACATTGGATGAAACCAGGTGGCTGCAGTGAGCAGTGCTTCTTGTCCAGCCTAATCCCCAGCCAGAAGCAGCCTGCTCATGGCCAGGCACAGCACTGCACACCGTCAGCTCCTCTTGCTGACCCCAAGCTGTGCGAATGCCAAGAAAATGCCAGCATTTGGTTTGCTGGGGGCCGCTCCTGCACTGCCAGGAGCAGTGGGCAGGATTGCCCGTGGCTAGTCTAGAGCGTGCCTGCCGCAGGGAGCCCCTTGCCTTTGCCTTTCTTTGTCTGTCGTGGTGAAGCTGTCCGTGGATGTAGCGTATTTTTGATATGTGGCATGTAATATAAATAACAGTGAGCTGCATGCAACTCTTGCCTCGGTGTTGAAATAGCTCAGCAGCAGCGATGTGCTGCAGGCTGTGGAATCGTTCTAAGTCAGGAGCAGATTTGGTCGGGCTGCTGGCAGTGTCCCTGTGTGCAGGCAGCAGTCTGTCCCTTCGCCTGGCTGCAAATCCCTCCTGACCTGACTGCAGCGAACCTGGCATCGTTCCCCTCTTTTTCCCCCAGACTCCCCTCTGGCCCTGTGGCAGTGAGTCTGAAATGCGCCCTGAAATGCCAGAGCAAACCCACCAAAGTCCTCAGGGAAAACCCAGACACCAGGGCCTGGGGACACTGCCATGAAATGCCCAAAGAGGCCGGGTGCTGTCCAAAATCACAAGCTGCTCTGCTACAAGAGGGCTTGCTTGCTGCGCGTGTGCACACGCGTGGTGCGTGTGGGCATGCGTCACCTCTCACTGCCAGCCCTCAGAAAGAAAGGGGCCTTTTGATAATTTTGGAGTGCAGCTGTGTGGTTGTGATTTACGTACGGCTGCGTGAACGTTTGCCTGTTCTGCTGAGAAAATTCTCCTGCCTGTTTCTCAGCCTGTACAGAAATAGCAGCCTCCCCTGGCGATTGCTCATTGACCACAGTGGGAACACGGAGGTTTCTCTTCCCGGTGCAGTATTTGGGTTCCTGTTCAAACACAAGGGCTGACAACCTTCCTGGTACCCAGTGCACAACCACGTTTTAAACTTTGACACAGGATCGCCGTCATTATTAGAGGACTGCTAGCAGTGAGTGCCACAACTTGTTTCTGCACAAGTAAAACAGGAAAATCAGAGGGTGTTAAAAAAAAAAAAAATGGTGTCGTCTTTTTCTGTGAATTTATTTAATAAGCTATCAATAATTCGGAGTGTACAATATTAATGGCTTTGTACTTCATACCATGCCTTTCAGGCACTTTGCCATAACTTTGAAAGGGGCTGGTTTAGGACAGCACGTAGCTGCGGAGCTGAGGAGGGGGAAGCCTGGACTCTCCTCAAGAAATGCAGAAGATGTGCATAAAACTGGCAGTTGCTTCATTAAAGTTGAGTGTACCTCTTGTTTTCTGGCCTTGTGATTGACTGGGCAGCTGTGGAGAGGTTTTGTATGTGAGGAGATGAACCTGATGGCGCTCGGTTGTGTCCTGTCCAGCCTTTTCAGGTGGCCATACAGTGTGCACAGAGAGATCGTAATGTTGTTAATAGACCCGAAATGTTTTGAGGTTTGCTCTTTTTCATAAGGCCTCCTTTTGGTTGCTGGTCAGTCGCTTCTACTCGCAGATTCCTGGGGGCCCACAGACTACAGGAGGGCTCACGGATCTCTTCTGGCTAAGAGGAGCAGCCCTGCCGCCCGACAGCCGAATTCACTGCGGGGTGATCTGCTGGAGCAGCGCGTCAGAGCATCTGCAGGCTGAGGAGAGCCCAGCCCCACAGAGCATGGCTCAGGACAGCTATTGTCACCGCAGCACCAAGGGCTTTGTCTCCCGAGGCTGCTGGCTGCAGGATTCCTGCTGGCAGGCCTCGGGTCCGCCATCTCTCAGCCGGCGGCTCCACGCTGATGGGAGGTGGAGGGGAGAGCAGCGACCACCGTGACCCAGACCTTTCTGCTACCGTCAAGTGGATCCCACACCCTAATTGTTTTTATTTTTTTGCATAATGTCTTTCATGCAAGGACTCCAGGCACTTTATACAATATAAAAAAAAAAAGGGAAAAAAATACATTTTTAATAGTGTTATTTGCAGAACAAAATATACACTTCTAACAGCCATTAATGATTTAATTAAGACTCTTTTCTCCTTCATTATGATTAGAGAATTGGACATTAATAAAACATAAGGACTTTATTCTTTTGGAGAATAAATTTTTGGAGAAGCGTGTGACTGCCTGGCTGCGCGAGAGCACCGACGGGCAGGTTGGGTGTAGGACTGTTTTCTTCATGGGCAGCTGCAAGAAACGGGAATGGTGCGTAACCTTGGTCTCCTATAGACCAGTTCAGACTGCCCCTGGGCCCTCTCATCCAAGTATTTGCTGATCTGCTGCACCTCTCGGTTATGGAAGTGTTGCTTTGTAGCAGCATCGTAACGAATTAATTTGTTCTGCTCACCCCACAGTCTGCACCACTGCTTTTTTCCCAGATGTTTCCAGTGCTCCTCTTGGCACGGACTATCCAGCTTTCTATTCAACAAGTCCCCTCTCCATGCTTTGCCATGTCACTTTAAGTATTTTCATTTCCCACAGCTTTTTTTTTTCTTTTTTTTTTTTTAATTATTAGCAGCAAAGAAGAGAGTGCTTAAACAGTGTAACTCGTGCCCAGGAACACTTCCAGAGGGATAAAAAACTTTTCTGTTATGTCAACACTGAGCCCAGCAGAAAACAAGTGTATTTGCTGAAACATTCCTTGTGAAAATTGCTGGTCGACAATGATGGCTCAAACAAATACTGCATTTTCTTTCCAGCCCTGTGGCACCCAAAGAGCATTGAGATGTGCAGGCTGCTGAGGGCCAGACCTCCAGCTGCTGGAGGTTGCTGCTGCTACGCAGACTTCAATCGACCAAATCTACAGCAAGCAGGAATCCAGCATTTGAATTTAAGACGCTTTCCCTGGAAAAAAAAAAAAAAAAAAAGATGGATATTTTCATGTATGCGTATGTATAAAATGAAAATCTGAGAGAGATTTCACACATGCATAGAAGAAATTGGGTAAAGTTGTGAAATACATGAAAATCTTTCTGTTCTGTGCTGGGGAGTGATGGATGGAAGTGGGACCCTGCTGGTGGACTCACGTGTTAGCAGCAGCAAAGCCATAACGCTGCTTGTCTTATAGATACAGGGCTTCAACCTCTGTAATTCAAAATAATGAAATGCTCCAAGAGAACAGATTGATTTAAACAATTTGCTTTAATATCATTTTACATCTGCAGTTTTATTTCCCAGAGAAATGGTTCTTGTTAGCTCTTGTTGGGTGGTATTAAAGTAATGAAATATTTTAATTTGCAGCCAGATAAAAATCTTTACATTAAATGTGTTTTTGTTTAGCTAATCAGAGGATGTTACTGCTTACATGGTTATTTAAGGAACAATATAGATTAGTATTTTCAGGAGCCACCACTTGCATGTTTCTTTCTTTTTGCAGCACGCTTTGAAGAGTGAAATTCTTTGCTAAACGTTGGGATTTTGTTGAGACCATTTAGCTGAAAAGTGGGTTGCAGCAAAAAATGCCCCAAATCAGGGGTTGCTTTTGTCACATAAGAGAGAAATGATAAACATGCTGGATATAAAAGAGGGGAGAAGATGTTAAGAAAGCACACTTTGCCATCCAAATTGTGTGAGATGAAGGCTGCAGGGCTGGGGGGGGGAGGGAGCATGGAGCAGCAGCCCTGGCAGCTGGGCTGGGGGGTGGCTGCTTGGCTTCCCCAGGGTGTTTTAGCTCAGGTGAAATTCAGGAGGCAAGATGCTGAGCTTTGCTGCGCCTGGGTTTTGAGGGCTGAGGTGCCTGCTTTGGAATATTCAGTGGGAGCATTTCCTCTATTAAGCTGCTTTTGAAGTTGTGTCATTACTTTTTCTTAATGAAACATGCAAATCCGGTACGCGCCGTGATTGCGTTTCAGGGAATTCAGCCCTGACACAGCTCCAACTGTAAATACCTCACTGGCATGTAATTCAGGGCAGGTCCGTCCTCCCCTCTTCTTACCAGTCAGAATAGATTTTCCTAGTGCTGGACTGCTGGGGCGCCCACACAGAGCACTCCTTTTTGGCATACCAAGACAGGAGCAGGAAAGGAAAACCTGTCTGCTTTTTATCCAGCAGCAAAGCTGAAGACGAGTGCAGCTGTGTGTTGCAACCTGCTGCCGGCAGACTCCCGGGGGGCTGTGACAAACCCAGGATAAACCTCCCTCCTTGGCCGCTGGTAGCAAATGGTCCAGGCCTGCTTCTCCTTCATGGAAAGGCTGAAATGGGAGATGACCTTGAATTGCCACCTACAGCAAGCTGATGGTTTGGGGTGTTTTTTTTTTGTTTGTTTGTTTTTTTAATTATTATTCTGCCTGGAATCAAGGAGCTGGGAGAGGCCACCTGCCCGCCAGCACCATCACCTGGGCAGCCGGCACTGCCCCTGCCAGCCTCCCAGAAATTCAGGGTGGAAGAGGGAGGAGAAGACATTTGCGTGTGGGCTCTGGCAGGGGAAAAATATGTCAGAGTGCCCACCTGGGAACTGTGTAGCATGCATTGGGCCGTCAGCCCTGAGCTACAGGTGGCATCGCTCTGGGTCTTTCTTTGCCTATGCCCACGTGCGTTGACCAACCAATGGTGGATGTCCAAAAAGAATTACCAAGATCATTATTCTGCATACTGGGATGAAGCTTTTATGTTTTCATGGGAAAAATAAATATTAAAGAATAGTTTTCAAGCCCAGCTGTACATCAGGCAGATTTTTCAAGCATGCTCCTGCCTCACGTTAAGTAATCCGAGTGCCTTCTACATGCAGGGCTAAAACTTCTTGCTGTATCCAGGAGCAGCTGCTGTCCTTGCTTAGAAAATGTAACTGCCTTCTAAAATTATTTCCTATTCACAAGACTGAGAGCGAATGATGCTTGCAAGGGGTGGTTGCAGTTAGCATAGCTCTGCGTTGACAAGGCTTCTGTCTCAGGCTTCTTCTACCGCTTTAATTATAACAGCGCTTTAACACTTTCAGAGGAAAAATGCTGAAAATACATTTCTTGTATTGCAAATGATGAAAAAAAATGCTTCTCCCAGATGTTTGATGACACAGATGCTTGGCACCACAAAGATGAGCCAAAATACACCAAAAAGGGGTGAAATGGTGAAAAAAAGTCTTATACTCCTAGATTTTCAAAGACTTAGAGCCCACAGTGCTGGTCACAGTATGTTTTGGCTGTTGGCATTATTTGCAGATCAGGATCACCCTCAGGACCTGTACCCTAGGAGCCGTACATGCCCGTGGCAGCCTGCAGGTACCTGCCTGAACCTGACTTCTGCCTGCGGTCACAGCTGTCGTTGCAGCTCCCTTTTAATGGCCAAAGAGCGAACAAACCCATTTCCTGCTGTCCTCAATAGCGAGTCCTTTGTTTGCCGTCCTTTGCATGAAGCATGCCCGCCATACGTTCATGTCTTGTTGACCTCAGCGGGGTTTGCAGAGGCACCCAGGGCCGTCTGACTGTCAATCCGAATGAATTCAGGCACTTAAGGCATGCAGCTAAATTAGCGAGGTGCCCGTCTCCCCCTGAAGTGTCTGAAAGCTGCCACTTTTACTTCTTTTCTGCAGCTTTTGCTTCTTCCCTGCAGCTCTGTCCCTACCCAGCCGACCCCCCTGGGTGATGCTGTAGGGGCTTAAATCAAGTACGGGAAGGCTGCTGAAGCAAGCAGCACTCGACAAAGTGTCACACACAACGGTGGGCTGTTATAAAATACCATTTTTCAGCCGTCCTGCATAAAGGGAAGCTGGGGGAGCCCCAGGGGAGCCCGATGCCCCAGCTGCACACCTCCTGCGGCCCTGCTAATGTGCCAGGGGCTCGGCAGGAGTTGGCAGCCCCACGGGTCGGGCTGCATTTGTCTGCCAGCCTTAAAAAAAGGCTTTTGAAGCCCAGCTCCACAGCTCGGGTGCAGTCACATGAGAGCAGCTCTAAGGGGCACGCAGAGAGCAGAGCGCTCAGCCCACCAGGCAGGCACATAGCAAACGGCAGCGTGCGTTGCCTGACATCGTCCGTGCAGGCTCAGAGGCTGTTTGGTTTTTCCCTTTGTCTCAAAACACAATCTGGCAGCCCTCGGTGGCCGCTCCGTCCCCTGCAGCGTGCAGCTCCCCGCCCGGCAGAGGCAGCGGCCGCCCGCACAAAGAGCTCGGCTGGGCTCTCAGTTTGGCGGTGGTTTCATTGCACATCTTGCCCCGGGACTGTTTCAAAGACCACAGCTCAAGGGGCCTGGCTACAAAGAGATGCAGGCCGGGCGTTTTGACAGCAAGCTGTTCCCACCATTGTTCGGATGCCCCTCTCCTAAGACAATGACTCAAGTCCCCAGGGGCTGGCAGGACACCCCCAGCACGCTGCTGCTCCCCCCCAGCTGGATAATGGGATTACTGGGCAGGGAGGGAGCCTCGGCCCTTTGCTGCAGAAGAAATCTCTGTGCCACAAGAGCGCCGTATGTCTGGCTGGGGCCCTCTGCTCAGGAGCCTGCTCTTGAGGGATGGATGGGCTGGAGCCTGTCTGGCAGGAGGTGTGGGTACCTTGGGTGGAAAACTACACAGGGATGAAACATCAATCCAAGAGGAACACGTACAATTTTAAATCCCTCTCAGATAATATTACTTTTCAGAAATCAAGTCATGATAAATGAAGGGTAAAAAGAGTCTGTTTTACCATTTTAAGTGGCTCCAGAAGTAGAGAAGAAATAGCATATTATATATTTGATCCTAGTAAAACCTTGTGAATTATTTAATCCTCTGACTCAGGTCAGGACATGGCCCCTAGAGAAGCTCGCTGAGGAGTGAACACTCCCTTGCAGCTTTCATCCCTTGGTGCAAAGACAGCCCAATACTGGGACGCGACCCTAGGGGGGCATCCACATATCTCTGTTTATGCACTAGCCCTTGACAAAGGAGGAGCAGGAAAGAGGAAAAACGCATGCAAAGCCCTTGAGCTCACGTCTCAAAGTAAATGTAAACGATTCTACTGACGAACACTCCGGGGCTGGTTGAACACAAGGTTGCCACCCCTGCAGCAACACCACAACCAATTCCCTTGAAAAGATCAGTCTTAGGGCTCCTGCATGTTTATATAGAGATTTATTAACTGCAATTACACAACACAAACTTCAGGATTTATCTCCTTGAGATATTTATTTAAATTAAAAACAAACTATCTGGGGAAAGAGCAATATATATGTCCCTCTACATTTCCCTCAACTAACTTCAGAAGAGCAATTCTAGGGGATACAAACATCCCTTGATGCTACTCGATGTATTAGGGGATGTACAAACCTCACGCCCAGCAACACAATAAGAACTGGAGTAAAGCAGAGCAAGAAGAAATTCACATTTATCAAAATGTAACTGAGTTACATGGAGGCTTCCAAGAAGTACTTGGATTTGAATTAGCTTGAGTTTAAAAGTTAGAGAAGTAAAAAAGTAAACACACAGGCCAAACACACACAGTTCTTCACTAGCTCAGTGGTGATGGGAACATTGGTTAAAGACAGTTCTAGAGAGCAGCCACCCACTGCACGGAAACTTCCCACATATCCAGCACCTGAAGGGGGAGGATTACTCTACCAGGATCGTGTCCACGCTCTCTTGGATAAGATCAGACTCCAGTATACATTCGTCCAGGTGGTCTTGAGATAAACCGGGGCTCTTCCCCACGCTCTCACTGTCACCGTAAGGACGAAACCTGGGGGTGGCGGGGCTCTCCAGCCGCTGGCAGCGGCCGTACTTGGGCTGCTTCCCTCTGTGCGTGTACATGTGTTCCAGCAACTGGCTCTTCCGGAAAAACGCGCGGCCGCAGATGGTGCAACTGATTTTTCTCTTTCTCGAGAAAGAGAAATTGCAGTTCAGCTCCACCGGCTCGTGGTCCTTGGAGATGAGGGAGAGCTGGCCGATCTGCAGAGGCTCGAGGTCGCCGCAGCTCGGGTGCTCCAGCTGATGCTCGTCCTCTTTGAGGAGGAAGGCCCCGAGGCGGTGACCCTCCCCGGCCTCCCTGCTCTCCGCCAGAGGCTGCACCTCGCCGAGGTCGCTGCTCTCCAGGATGGAGGCCGGCACGCCGAAGGGCAGCGAGCCCGAGACGTGGGTGTGCAGGTGCTCCCGCAGCCCCCCCCGGGAGTCGAAACGCTCCCCGCAGTAGTGACACAAGTGCACCCTGAGGCTGGCCTTGGCAAAAATGGGGTTTGCCACGTCCGGAGAAGGAGGGGTGCAGCTCTGGGACACCACGGGCTCCGAGTCACACTTCTCCTGCTTTACGGAGACAGAGAGCTTTGGCAGCTCTTCTGCCGGCTTGACCAGAGCAGCCGGCTGCGCGGCGGGGCGAGCAACCTGCTGCTCGAGGGAGCTGTCGTCGAGCCCGATGGCGAGGGAGAGCTGCAGCTGCGGGTGGTCGCCCTGGGCAGAAGACCTGCCACCAGGCTTGGCCAGCGTCTCCTTCGCTCCCAGACGTTCCTTGGCCGTTTTGTGGGCAGTTGAGATCTGGATCCCGTACAGGTTTGAAGACTGCACGGTCTCTGAGGGGAACACCTGGTTCATCTCGATGGCGATATGGGAGAGGTGGTCTGCGTGGAGAAAGCGGATGCCCTCCTCCAGCCGGCTCTGGTTGACGGTCTGCTTCGGCCCCTTCCCCGTGTACATGATATGCAGCAAGTAACTGAAAATGTCAGGCTGGATGTCTGCAGGCTGGATCTTTATGCATTCACTGAAACAAGACAGACGATTAAGTACATACTCGGCTCCCAATTACAGCCCTGATCCATTATCTGCCCATTCATTTGCACCGCTGTTTGCTTTTAGAGCGTGGGCACTGCCGCCTGGCTCCAGAATCAGGGCGAGCAGCGCTCCTTGCCAAGACCTGAGGAAGCGCATATGCCTTGTAGAGCATGTAGAGCAGAGTGACTGAGTTTATTTATCTGTGGGACTGTAACAACTGCGTGCACAAGTGCAGCGAGGAGCCAGCCTCCATCTACCCCTCGCTCGCATGCACACCCAGCTGTGATGGGGCATAACCAGCGGTGCCGTGCGAGCTGCACCTCTCCTGCGTGCGCCGCTCCAACGACAGGAGGCAGAGAGCATCTGCGTGTTTAAGTAATAAATTCAGCTGCCACCACTGCGTAATCTTTATGAGCTTTGCACTTAAGTGTCAGCAAACAACGTCTATCGCCCGGGAAATTTGCTCATCTTCTCACGCCCAGCCGAAGGGCTGTGTGCGGATGGATAATGATTGTCTGCTGAAGGTGCTGGAGGCCGCGACCCTCACCAGCACGGGCAGGAAGGGGAACAGAGAAGGGATTAATCAGTTACAAGCAGCAAGCTCCAGCTCGGAGGCGAGATTAGAACTCGGCACCGACATCGTTATACCTGTAGAACCACTTAGGACTCGGCCAGGAGCAGCAGCTTGAAATAAGTGGGTGATCGCAGTCCTGTCCCTTATCTGCATGAGTCTGAGGCGCAGACCTGTGATAAGGCTCCGGCTCCCTGATTGCTTCAAGCCCGCGGATCCTGCCAAAAGGGACAGTCCCACCCAGCAAGCCGGGCCGGAAAAGCCATCTAGCCAAATGTGTTTTGCTCTCTCTTTGCTGGGGTAACTCCTGAGGCCACACCAACGCTGGTGCCAGGAAGGCTGCGTGGGAACGCGTGGCCAGGGCTGCGCCTCCCTCCCAGCCCGCGGCGGCTGTGAAAGTGCAAGATGTGTGCTCAGCCTCGCGGCGGTGCCTATGGCACGGACACCTGCTGAGCGGGACCTGAAACTGGGCTTCGCTGGTCTCTCCAGAGAGGCATGAAGCCTCCGCACTCCAGCAAGCACGCAGAGGAGCAGCAGCCTGTCACTGGGCTTATTCTGCAGCCAACAGCTCCAGGCAGCCGAATGGCCAGCGCACGCAAAACCTGAACACAACGTATCTGGGCAAGGGGACTGCACAAAAGCCATCACAAAGTGACAGATGCATCGCCACAAGGCAATGTGTGTCCTTGCAATGCCAGCCTGCGAGGTGTCACTGCACGAGGACCGGGGCACCCATGCGTTTAATCCCTTTGCTCACACAAATCTCTCATCTCTGAGATGCAGGGCCTGAATGGCAGCGTGTGCTGGCTAACGAGGGTGGTTTTATGGACTGCACGACACCTTTAGAAAAAGGGGAAAAGCTGAAAGTCAAGCAGAGCGGTTAAAGGGTAGGAGCAGTTAAAGGGTAGGAAGAGAGCTGCGCGTCCTTACCTGGTCTGATGGATAAATATCATCTTAAAATAGTTTGAAAAAGCAGCTAGCACCGCTCTGTGGGCTTTGAAGTAAACATCTCCAATGGCAACTGTGCAGTCGCACAGGAAGCCAAACTCCCGCTGCATGTTCAGCTGCTGGAGGAGGAGGACGCTGTGGCCGCTCGTGTCCATGGCGGGTCTGCAGGGAAGAGAACAAGGCGTTCATCTCTGCAAGAAACCTCAGGGCTCCCACAGGCTCGGCCGCGGGTCTCTCAGCACTGACACGACGCTGAGCAGGGAGGCAGAGCTTTGGGGAGCCTCGTCCCTTCCCACCGACACCCCAAATCCCAGCTCCCGGAGCTGAGCGCCTCTCCCCGACTTCGCCAGGCTGCTGCCACAAGCAGGGCAGCCTCTCCCATGGGAAAAAAAAAAGCGTGCAGGTGCCCTCTTTGCCCCCCGACACACACCTTTGGCTGGGCACAACCGGTGCCATTCAGGAGCCGGCTACACCCGCGGCCCGGAGCGGAGGAGAGGGGCACGGCAGCGCGCACACAGAGGGAGCCCTGTGCCGCCCAACAAAGCCCTCATTGTGCAGCGCCGCGCCGACGGCCCCTTTGCAAACAAACGCTGATATTCCCTATTGTTTCCCCCGAATATTACACCCGGAGTGGGGGGGGGGGAGAGAGAATGAGGGGGAGGAGGAAGAGGAGGATGAGGAGGAGGCTGCGCTTGCTGGGCAGCCTCCCCCCGCGCAGCCTCTTACCCGCGGAAGCGCAGCCCCGGCTCTGCGCGGCTCCGCCCGCTCCCTGCGCGGCGGATGGGGTGGGCGCTGCTCCCCCCCGTGCTTCCTGCCACCAAGCCGGGCCGGGCAGAGCCGAGCCGAGCCGGGCCAAGCCGGGCCAGGCAGCCCCCGCCTTGCTGCGGCGGCTCCGGGTGGAAAAAGTGACCGCCGGGGCTGCGCGGGGGTTGCGCGGTTGTTGCGCGGCCCGGAGCTGAGCGCAACGGCAACCGCGCAACGCCAGCCTCAAGCTGTGCCCTTGACTCAAAGTTCCCTGAGCCATCAGCCCGTGCTTTGTTTCTTCTGGTGAAATAAAAGGGGCTCATCGTGCCCTCCTGCGCTCCTCGGACAGCAGCAGGAGCGAGGTGTGATGGGGCTGCACTCCTGCTGCCCCTCGTGCAGCAATACCCGCTCTTCTTCCCCCCCCCAAAAAAAAAAGCTGGCAGAAAGTGGTTGGAGGTTTCGTGCTCCGCTCTCGTGTTGTTTAACATATTTATCGAGCCATGTGCAGAGTGAGTGGCTATTTGCAGATGGCATGCTATTTATTTAAATGATTAATAATTTACGTGTTATCTAGGTTGACTCCAGCCCAAAGAGGACTTTGAAGAGCTCCGGAGAAGCTGGAGCCAAAATGATGGGAGCGACGATGGGAAGTGGAAGCTGGTGTTTGGCTGTAATATCCCAGGGCCCTGTGGGTATGAGGTGACACAGCCCGCACTGCTGGGCTGGGGTGCAAGAGCAGGACATGATTGCAGCTATCTCCACGGACGTGTCTGCTCGCTGTTCCTCCGTGGCCAGAAAATAATAGTAAAAAATACATTGGGAAGGCAAAGGTCATGGGAGGTCGCTGAGAGCCTGGGGATGGAGTGAAAAACAGGGTGACATGTGCCAAGTGTCACCCAGAGGTGGCAGAGGCTCCTGCAGCAACTTGCGTGGGGAGGGCTGTGACACAGCAGAGCTGCACGGGCACCTTTTGTGCTGCCCTGTGCAAGGAGCTGCAAAGAAAAAGACTGGTGAGCTATGGAAAAAAACAAACAAACAAGCAAAAACTTTTCAGTGCGATTTAAAAAACATGACAGGGTTGGCTTATGGAGGCCATTTGGCCTATGAGGCAGGAAAAAGGCTGAAGGAGGTGTGCAGGTTCGCCCTCCAGGCATCACCCCCTGGAGCCAGGCTGCAACATAGCGAGGAGAGAAATGAGGGCATCTTTGGGACCCATTTTGAAAGCTCTGCTTTTATTCAGCTGCGGTTAGAAAATCCCCAAACGTGCACAGGGTGAAGGGGTGGCGTCCCACTTGGAAATCAGGACTCTGTTAACTTGGTTTGTCACGTTAAGATGCCTTGGGGAAACTTTGGGAGCAGGGATCAATGCTGGTACATGTAAACATTGTAGGGGGCTATTTTGGTGCATTCTTTCTGTTGTTACTTTTGTAGCTTTTGCCATTTTCAAACCTGTAATCACATCTTTTAACTTAGTTACCATTCATTTTTTCCCTTTGGCTTGTCTGGAGCTAGAAGGGATATTGGATACTTGTGCTTGACACGAAACTGATGGCGTCTCTAGAAAACGTGTCCAAACAAAGGAGCTCTGCAAATTAAACGCTTCTGATGCGTGCGGGGAACAACTGATGTCAGTTTAGGGGTGGAAAAGTCAAGTGGCAAGCCCAGGAGAAAAGCCTGACCTGGCAGATGTTTCCTAGCAGCCCCGTGGCAGGTAGCAGAGCGGCCGCCCGCAGCTTCGGGAAATCCCATTTACTCACCCGGGACAGTTCAAGTGGAGCTGGAGAGGTTCAGGGAGAGTGATGGGAGGAGGGCCTGGGAAAACTCAGAGAGAGAGAGAGAAGGAAAAAAAAAAAAAAAAGTGCTCTGCTCGGGATCTGTGATTAAATGTGGTAGTGGCTGCCAGCTCTGGCGCTCTCTGCATCAGTGTATGAAGAGGGACGGCAGGGATACGGCCGTGCGAAATTTCAGCAGAAAGCAAACACTTCCTCGTGCAACTTGGAGTTGCTTTTTTTTTTTTGCTGCCTTTTTTTTTCTTTGTTTTTTTTTTTTTTTTTTCCCTTCCTCCCACCTCGTAACCAAGCCGCCCCACGCAGGAGGAGGCCGCGGCTGCCCGACCCCATCTCCGGCCGCCCACATGGGCCATCCCCCGGGGGCTCATTTTGGAGATGGGGGGGGAGCGGGGGCGAAACTCCGGAACAACAACGTGGGATGCAGACACAGCACGGGGACACCCCCCACCCTTTAGCAATACCCTCGGGGAGGGAGAGGGGGGGGGGGCTCCGGGGCGGGAGGATGCAAGCGGAGAAGGAGGAGGAGAAGCAAGGGGGGGAGGAGGAGGAGAAGGAGGAGGGGGCGAGGCTTGCGGCGCATGGGGAGGGGGCGCCCCCGGCCGCAGCATCCCCGGCGGCATGGGAGGAGAGGGCAGCGCGGCAGGGAGCCGCCCGCCGGGCCCCGGCGCTGTCGGCGGCGGCGCAGCAGCGGCGGCGGGGCCGAGGGGAGGGAGGGAGGGGTCCGGCCCCGTGCGGTCGCGGCGGAGCCGGCGCTGCGGCAGCAGCAGGCGCGGCGGGGCGGAAGTCCTTTGTTGCAGCGCTGCCAGCAGCACCAGCAGCAGCACCGCCAGCAGCAGCAGCAGCAGCACCGGCAGCACTGGGAGAAGCGCTCGCAGCACGGGCAGCTCCCCTTCGGCCGCCGCTACCGCCTCGCCCCGCGGGTAAGCGGAGCCCCCGAGCCCGGTGGAGGAGGATGAGGAGGAGGAGGAGGATGAGGAGGAAGGGGAGGAAGGAAGGCAGCGCGGCGGCCGCAGCTCCGCCGCCGGCGGGAGGTGGGAAGTGCCGGGCGGCCGGCGTGGCCCGGCGCGGCATGGCCCGGCACGGCGCGCCATAGTGGGGCGGGGGGGGCGGCACGGCTCGGCACGGCTCGTTTGGGCTCAGCCCGGCTGGGTTCGGCTCATTTGGGCTCAGCCCGGTTCGTTGGGGCTCAGCCCGGCACGGCTCTCGGCCAGCAGCCGCCGCGGTGACCTTGCGCTGGGCGGGCGGCCTGCCCCCGGCTCGGCTGTGGCACGGCTCGGCTCGGCTCGGGGCTGTGCCGAAGCGGGCGGGGGGCTGCGGGGGCCCGGCGAGGTGCCGGGGCTGGGCGCTGCTGCGGGGCTTGGGGTCACGTCGGATGTTGCAGCGCGCCGTGCTCGCAGCGCCTTCAGCCTCACGCCGTCCAAGCTCTGTTTATTTTTCCCTTTATTCTATTTTTCTTTTTAATTTTTTTTTTTTTTTTTTTTTTTTGAAGCCAAACTTGGAGCGAGTTGCGGTAGTTGGGTGAAAAAAACGGAGGGGAGCCGGAGCCCGAAGGGAATGCTCCACCCTGCCAGGCGGGAGACTTGGGTTTCACCCCGGGCTGGCACCGCTCTGCTCGCTCTGGAGGCGGCGGGGAAGGAAGGAATTGCTCTGTCGCAAAAAAAAAAAAAAAAAAACAAGCCCTCTGTTGCTCGGGGAGCGGTGCTGAAAGGCTCGTTCCTCAAAGGACTCCTCTGGATAGAAAGGTAGCGAAAGGAGCGAAGGAAGCGGGACTGAAAACGCCGGGGGTTTGGGGCTGGGTTTTTATTCCTCTCTCCTAACTCAGCATCCAAAGTTTGGCCCGTCCGTCGGCTGATAGCGAGCGCCTGCTCCTCCTGACACGTAGGCATGGGTAGAGGGATAGCACGGGGTGGATGCTGCCGAGCACTGGGATGTTTACTGCCAGATTGTATCGTCTGCTGGTGTTATTCCCCCTGCGCTGCGCTCTCGCAAGGTACAGCGCATGCTGCAAAACTCTCTGGGGCTGAAGCAGTCTTGTGTTCTGTCGGCATTTAATTACATTCAACAAACATTCCTTTAATTAAAGGTGTTTGTTTAACATTCCTCATTACGGCTCTTGGAAAAACCCACACAGCAGTTGTGAGCAGGGGGGCCGTGGGCTTTTCGCTCGTACCGAATTAGAGCTGGAGCTCGCGTGGCGAGCGGGGGAGAGGCGTTGAGACCATATGGCCACGGAGAAAACTGGCCAAACGCGCCCCGTTGCAGTGCTGGCAGAGGCTTTCCCAGGCACTGAGTTGATGAGATTGTGGAGAGATTTCTGGGTGACTGGCCAGAAAACATGAGGAGTAGCAACAAGTCGCTTCGGTCCGCTCTGGGATACACCTGGGTGTTTGGATGGGTGAGGGAGGGCTGCAGGAGGGTTTAGGGAGCAAACACATGGGGTGGTGCTGCTCGAGGAGCTCGGAGGAGAAGTGGAAACCCCCTTTTCCACCCAGCCAGAAAGCTTGGGAGTTGTGTGGGGCAACATCACAGGCTTAACAGATGCTTCAGCTCTGCTGGCACGAGGCTTTTCTTCATCAGAATCAGCCTGCATTGTCACTGGCACGGGGATTTGCAGTGATCGCAATGAGAGTACTCATATCAGGGAGTGACTTGGGGTTTTAGATGCTTTCTTGCTTGTGTGGGTGAGGTTAATTGCTTTATTCACAGGTTTCCATTGTAGCTGGTGGTGGAAAGCTCTGAAAATCCGGGGTGGACAAAGCCTTAGTAGCTGCTTACCTGCTGTGTGAGGAAAAAGAAAGCTGCTCAGAACTGAGATAATGAAAGTTTCCTGATTAAAAGTCCTGGAGTATTTCCCCTCGGTGGTTTCAGCTAGCCCTCTCTCTAGGGTTATTCCGAACCTTGCATGCACATAGTGTGAGAAACACGGTGTGCATTTTTTAAAAAAGCTTGACTAGTGGTTTCCCAGCAGTTGGGTTATCTTCCCTGCCTCTGCTTAGGCATGGTAAACACCACCACACACAGAGCTCTGCTGCAGACACAGTATGTGGGCACAGCAGCTGACATAATTTGCATGAAGACCATTTATATCCTCAAATTTGTCTGGCAATTTTTTCTTTGTGCATGTTTTGCCATTGCAAAACTCTAGATTTAGCTAGCTGTTGCCCTTTTTTTCCATCTTAAACCTGCCTCATTTAATGGAGACCTGAGCAGCTTATTTTTCTTATGTGCTGCAAGTAAATTTTGAAGCATCTAGGACAGGAAAGTGTCAACGAAATATGTAGTCTGACCTGCGTGTCACGAGTTACTCTGCTTCATTCATGCGTACCCTACCTGTTGCACTGGAGCACAGCTTGCATTTAGCCAAGGATGCTTTTCTGGAAGGCACACTTATCTTTGTCTGAGGGTCTCAGGAGATCTCCAGAAACCACCAAGATGCCTCTTCGAAGTTATAAGGGGGTGAGTTGGAGAGGCCAGGTAGAAAGACTCATCGTTCAGCTGCAAGGCTTAAATCTGGTGTCAGGATGTTTTTCCACAAATCTTATAAACATGTCATTACCACTTTGCCTGACCACTTCTTACAACTGTAGAGGTGTCAGATAAATGATGACTGTGAACATCTAGAGTAATCTTTTGTGGCTAGCAAGTTGCTTTAAAAGACTGCACAAAGCTCTCTGTAATACTTCTTACTTCATAGACTGGATCTGAAGTTGAAGTTGAGATAGTTTGAACTGAAGCTCCAAAACTTGCTGTTTCCTTAATTTGACCACTCATGTTTTCCTGACATCTTATTCCTTATCTTTTGAGGAGTGTCCTTACCTGTGAATGTGCAGTGCATCTTAACTAATTCTGGGTTAGCAGCTGAGAACTGTAACTTGTTAAGTTTCCACGTCTGTTTCTCATTTGTGCACGTGGGTGCTGAATCAATGGAGAGCTCTGTGCTCGGAGGGAGCAAATGGCTCCGAGGGCTCTCACTTGGGGGCTGGAGCATCTTACCTTTCCCTGGTTCAGGATGAACCTAAGTATTAGCTGAAACTTGTTTCTATACATTGGCAATGAGGCTGTTTGAGATGAGTTGATTCAGCCATCAGGATGTGTATGCAGATGAGTATCTACATCATCTCAAGCAGCTTCACAACTAGCGTGCCTGAAGGCAGCTAATTGGAAGGACCATGGGGGGAGGATAAATTATACTGTCAGTCCTTCCTAGTCCAAATAATGGAGCTTAATTAGGTTTTCATTGGCAGTATGTGGAATTCCCGTAACTGTTAATTCATGATCGTGTAGCCTACTCTTACAACACAAACTGTAGCTTACCCATACCTGCTGTTGAGGTGAACGGTGGTCACCTGGCCCTCCCCCCCCTTTTTTATTTATTTTTTTTTTTTGCAAGTTTTGGATAAGCAGAGCACTTTCTTGGACTCTACAGTGCTAGAGCAACCTTGGTGGCTCCCTCTTGATAACGTCTAGATAAATTTCTTGCCTTTTGACCACTCCATCCATGGTCTGTGCACTAGCTGAGTGTGCAGTTTTCTCAGGCATCGTATGCAGAGCTTGGAAGTGTCGTGTAGGATTTGCTCCAGAGCATCTAGATGCTGTCAGTTAGGAATCTGATTTCTTTGGTGGATCTGACCCACGGAGGCAGAATAATTTAACTTCTGAGAGGAGAGTTCTTGGCAACCTGCATCAGAGCGAGATGCGTTGTGAGAATGGGATGCGGAATTTGCTTTCTGCTGCCCACGCTCCTGTTTCTTTGGATAACTGGGCGTTGTGTTCTTGAGGTTTTTTTCAGTCTCGTTTTCTATTAGCACCGAATTCTCCACTCATTTATTATACTTTTGTCCAGCCCGCTCTTGGTTTCCAAAGAAAAGCAGCCAGCAACTAAGCGTGTAAGCACTCTGTTTTTGCCTGCTCAGCAGTGGAAATGCTGGGTTTTGAAAACCACCTACTAATTTTAGGAGCCGAGAGGCTCCTAAATCGTGAACCTTGTGGTACTTCTTTTTTAAAGACAGAGAAGTTAGCAAAAGAACTTTACCAGTCTCTTTAAAAGGTTTGAAAAGGAAAAGCTTGAGGACTTTTCCTGAAATGTTTTAAAACTGAAGAAGCAAAAATTTTGAACTTGAGGAGGTGACAGAAAGTGTGGAGCTCTGGTAAATGCCTGTTCTTTCTGGCTCTAGACTTCTAAACAACATATTTGGTTAGTGTAGTGGTGCAATTCACCTTGTTCATGATAACATCTAAGTTGTAATTGTACCTGAGTAGTGACTCAAAATAATAAATAAATAAAAAAAATGATGGCATACAAACAGCTTTAATCAAAGCCTTGCAGTGTAAATTTAAACATTCACTAGAAATAGAAGATGGCTATGGAGACTTTGAGTTTGAAGATCAGACTGAAATTACCTGACTAAAATACCTATAATTTTGCTTTTGTATCAGATACTGTTCTAGTATATCTTTTCAGAACACCTCTTGCATCCTTCAGTATTGCTCACGGCGAGGCCCATGGCTGTGCTGACTGCCCAGATCAATTGTTGCTGAAGATGGAGTCACTTAGGTTCCTCGTGGACTTCTCTGTGATCCTTGTGACTATAGTATTTGTGTGCTTCACAAATGCTGGTGTGCTAGTCAGGCAAGTGGTCACAATTCTCATTTTGAAATAGGAAACAGAGTCAGAGAGGATCAAACCCACAGATTTTGGATGGACAAACTCACATGCCTAGAGCTTTAACTTTCCAGGATACTTAGTGCTTAATACACAGAGGGTAGCTCCTGTTGGTATCAGCTGTTGCTGATTATTTTTCCTGGTGTGAAGAAGTTGGGCATCCAAAAAAACACATGCCAGACTTAGCAAAGACCGGTGGGGAGGGAGTTTAGCATGACTTGTCCTGACACTGAGAGAGCTGGGATGCTGTTCTCCAAAGCGGTGTTTTTTGTCGTGGGATTCTCCTCTTCTTCCCCCCAGTCTCATTTGCTTCACATCCTCCAAATCCTATGCCAAATGAGCAGGGATCTTGTGTTGTTGCGTGAAGAGCACTGCTGCTTGGATCTATCCCTGGACAGATCCTGGGTGTGCCAAGTAGGGAAAGGAACCTTTGGTGAAAGGTTGGAAGACTACAATATATACATAAAAGGCTGCTGAATGAATACTGTATTGGAGTTCAGCTTAATTATGTCATGTCTTATGTATGAGCTTAACTTTGAAACCTCATGTTTCCTTTAAAAAGATGTGTTTTTATTCTAATGCCTGCTCTCTTTCCAAAGAAAACTTGAAAAATAGTTTTCAGCATCGAACCATTCCTGTGGGTGATAAATGCAGATCCCTGACATTTCAGCAATTAAATTAAAATAATGACAAATGATGACTTTCTCAGTGCTTGCTCTTGATTGGGAGGGAGCTTGTCAGCAAACCTGTGATAGTTGCTGGTGGCAAAGGAACAGCAGAATCAGGAACCCAGGGTTGAATTCCAGCTCTGAACGGGTGCCTGCTATGATAATTTCCTGTCTGTTCCCCTGCATAAGCATATCCCCCCACCCTACCTATTTGGCTCTTCCTACTCTCTTGCCCAAGCAGCTTCCCTCCCTCATTTAGATCCTCATTGCACCATCTTTTCCTCCCACTGCTGTTCCTAATCCCCTCTCAGCTCAGCATTTCCCTCCCAGCCTGTCTCACCCTGCCCTTCCTGCTCCCAGGGCTTTCCCTTCGCTTCCTTCTTACAGTTCCCAATCTCCATGCAGTTTCACTAAGCCTGCTCCTTGCCCTGGCTGTCCTCATCCAAAACCAGGTATCTTTTCCCTTTGGCTGCCAGGAGGGATGCTAAAACCCAGTGGCGAGTTGTGGTGTGGAGCAAACTGCAGCAAGCCATGCTACCAGTTCATGGCTCTGTGAAGGTGACATGAGCAGAAAAAGGGTGTTTTTGCTCTAGGTGAGATGCCTCCGACGGGCCCCCGTATACAAAGGAGCTACATGAGGATGAAATGTTCTCAGCAAGGCTATAATCTGACGCTTTAGTAACTCACAGCAGGTCTGAAGTATTTTTACTAAGTAATTTATCACTTCTACCATCTTTTCCCCCTTCTTTCCACCTAAAGCTTCTAGTTTGGCCAAATTCAGGTAGATTTTTGTATTGTGACCAAGAACTTGTCTAAGACATACCTCTTTCTCCAATATGAAGTCTCTGTTTCAAGATTTTGGAAGAGAAACTTTTTTGAATTTTAAAGAGTAATAATTTAGATACACAAATTTTTTTCTTAACCTCATTTTTTGTAACTCTTCCAGCTGAAATTTTCTGGCAAAAAAAAAAAGTCCAAAACAGGCAATTCAAAAGGAAAGTTTTGTCCTTTGCTGGTTGAGATGTGTTGAAGTTTTAAATAGACCAACGCAGGCTCTCATAGTGGGAAGTGTTGGCAGCTGTAAATATATAGTTACATACAGCAGGTTAATACAGCATCCAGAGGAAGTCTGCCAGTACTTTCATTAACATAGATAACTTCAAACGCGCTCTATTTTAATACCTACATATAGTACTACAGTGATAGAGGCTGTGTACACACCTGAACACCTTGCTGTTCTGATCAAGCAAACTCATGCTCAGGCTGGTTTCTTACAGAGCAGTGGTAGGAGATAGGCATTGCCAAAGGGTTGTTTTTGCATATCAGGACTTAAGTGCTGAAAGCTCTGCAAGAGTTCCCCTGTCAAAAAAGGAGATACCTCTCACCTTTTTCACAGAAGAAAGAGAAGTCGAGTCTGTGCCATTGCTCCAGTGACTGCTGGATCACTCCCACTGTTTTGCAATGCCTCTCCTCGCAGGTGCGTGCAGATATTTGTGAACTTCTTGGTTACAGGCTTGCTGCCTGCACTACTTTTTTTTTTGTTGGAAAACACAGTGGAATACTTATCGTGCACAAAACCCTTCAAATTTAAATGAAAAGTTTAAACTTGCAACTTTATGAGTAGAAGAAGATTAAAACACATTGTTCCTCTAGCAGTCCTGAGCCTTTTCTTGTCTTGATGGCAATTCATACCTAGAGGCTAGTGGTGTCTTAGACTGCATCTTCTCACTGTATCTTGTTGGTGGTCAGTCTTACAATATGGAGGTTGAAGTCAGTTCTTTGTCATTATGCAGCTGCTGTTCTTGAATATAATAAAGCATACTTCATCAAGTATTAAGTATGTAATGAATTACTGCAAATACAAAACACCTTAGCACTTGGAAGAATGAAGTGCCCTTTTATAGTGCTTGATGTTGAGAGCCTTGTTGTGTTTTTTTTTGTTTTGTTTTGTTTGTTTTTGTTTTTTCCTTCAGAAATAACTGAAGTTACCCAGTGACTTAGACAATAGTCAAATTTCTGTAGAAAAGACGTGAAGTTGTTCCAGAGATTCTGCTTTCACAGCCACCCTTTTGCTAGTTAGTGAGAAAACCATTAAAGGAATTTATTGTTACAAGTTGCATTTCTGCAGTGGATGTCAGTGGGCCAAACTGGTCAGAGAGTTGTTATGGCAGGGTGCTCACCTTGAGTTTTGGGATTGGAGGACTGGGTTGAGGGGAGAGGAGCAGCTGTCATTCAGGTGCTCTTCATCAGTATAATGCAACTCAGATCTCAAGGTTCCTGTTGCCAGACAGTCTTCTGCTGGCAGCGATCCATAAGTGCTGTGGTAGAACTGGCAGCAGGAATATTGCTGGGCAGGGGTGAGCCTTTCCTCATCTGGAGAGCGTGAATGCATTTCTTCCATGGCGGTGCTTGGCGGAATGAAGGAGAGCAGTGACAAATGTTAGGTCTGCTGCTTAACAACCCAGGCAACACCTCTGACTTGTGAATTCAATGCTAATCGTGGGATTTAATTTCTTTGCTCGTTTTGCAGCCTCTAGGAGATGTAAGCTGTCAGGGAGATGATGGGGAGGGAATAAGAAGAAACCAGGGAGCATTTTTGTGTGTATTTTGTTTAAATGCTGGACAATTGAAACAACAGTAACGTATTAAACTGCAGCTTATGACTCAATGAAATGCAAGGATTGATTTATGTTGTTTGTTAGCCTGTACTTTGTGTATACAAATCTCTTGCAGTTATTTCTATTGCTTGCAATAATCTTTCAAGATGTTAAGAGTGCTCATTATTGCTTTAGGCTTTTCTTTTCAGTTAGGGTATTCCTTATAGTTTTTTGCTTTCTCAAACTGCCCCACCCTGCTCCCTGTGTATTTACTACAGATTTTGTGTATCAGTAAAGGTTTTTCCAAAGTCAGTGGTGACTAGCCATTGAATTTCGCCTTGCTTGGTTACAGTTTATCTTTGTGAATTGAATGCGCACCTCCTGTGTGCAATATATTTCTTCTGGATGTTTTTATTAACATAAAACAGCGTGTTTTCTTCCTCTTTTCTGTCTAAGACCAGTTAGTCCTTTCATTTAAACCAGCTTTCAGCACTCACAGAACTTTCCCTCAAGTGTTTGCAGTTCCTCCTTGAGGCTTCATCCCTCAGAGCCTCCATCTCTGGCTTGCTGGCCTTTACAGTTCTCCATTAGCTGATTTTTTTTTTTTTTTTTTTTTGACTTTGTCCGGTCTCCAATCTAAATGTTTTGGCTGTATTATGCTGCTCTGAAAGAGCGGTTTTGAGAGGAGCTGGAGGCACGGCATGCACCACTTCCTGCCCCCCTGCCGCACAGTGACCGTCGGCAGCGGGCCTGCGGGGCCCGGCCAGCCCCGCGCTTCTCAGAACCCGCTTCAGTTTTACAGTTCCTGCTTTGCAGGAGGCCTCGCAGATAAGGTCGAGAAGATCCCTGAGCTGCCCTAAAGAGCAAACAGTGTGTGGATGTAGTGCTGGTGTCTCTTCTCAGCTGCCTTTAATGGGGAGGGAAAGACCAGTCTGAGCCCAGCCTGGTTTCCAGTAATGTGTTGCATCATATGTCCCTTGGACTGACAGGTGAAAAAGGCAAGTTGAGACCGAGCAGGTGGTTTCTTACAGTCGGCTCACCCTCGCAGTAGCTGTTGTCCTGGGGCCATCTTACAGAAGTCTGCCCTGTGAAGTTTTTGAAGTTCGGCATCCAGAACTCATATCTGAAAATCTTGGCTGGAGGACTTTGAGATAGATGTTTGCTAATTTATATTCTAGCAGCGTTGCTTTGACTGACATGTGTGGTGGTTATGTTTATTAGTTTGCTAGTCTTGTAAGTCTAGTGGTGAGAACGTGGAATTATGGATGTTTTCACTGGCATCAACAATAGTTACCAGCAAAGATCTCCAGACAGGAAATTATACCACAAACAGTGTGAGAATAGGAAGATCGGGAGAGGAAAGAGATGGCAGTTCTTCCCTACACTTAAATACATTCTGCTTTTTGTGCTCATGGTTTAACAGATGTCTTCTTCTCTATGCAGGGCTATAATTGAAGTACAAGATGGCAAGAACCAGCCACAGCAACTATGTCCTTCAGCAGCTAAACAACCAAAGAGAGTGGGGCTTTCTGTGTGACTGCTGTATTGCTATCGATGATATTTATTTTCAAGCACATAAGGCAGTCCTTGCTGCATGCAGCTCCTATTTTAGGATGTTTTTTATGAACCATCAACACACTACAGCCCAGCTGAATCTAAGCAACATGAAGATTAGCGCTGAATGCTTTGATCTTATTTTACAGTTCATGTATTTAGGAAAAATTATGACAGCCCCTGCCAATTTTGAGCAATTTAAAGTGGCCATGAACTATTTACAGCTATATAATGTACCTGAGTGTCTAGAAGATATACAGGATACAGACTCATCTAGTTTAAAGTGCTCATCTTCTGCTTCTAGCACCCAGAATAGTAAAATGATATTTGGCGTGAGAATGTATGAAGACACGCTCACCAGAAATGGCAGCGAAGCAAACAGGTGGGGCATGGAGCCGCCAAGTTCAACAGTTAATACATCCCATAACAAAGAGCCCGATGAAGAAGCTTTGCAGCTCGGCAGTTTCCCCGAACAACTGTTTGATGTCTGCAAAAAAAGCACCACCTCCAAATTCTCTCACACAAAAGAGCGTGTGTCCCACTCGCGCCGTTTTGGAAGAAGCTTCACCTGTGACAGCTGTGGGTTTAGTTTTAGCTGTGAAAAGTTACTGGATGAGCACGTGCTAACGTGCACTAACAGGCATTCGTACCAAAGTGCCAGGTACTACGGTGCTGAAAAACTAGACTTTAGTGAAAAGGACTCTACTTCTAAAATAATCTCTACGCAAACAGAAAAATACAAAGGGGACTCGAGCCAAGCTGCTGATGATTCTTCGTCTCCTGTGTCCAATGTTACAAGCAGGAAAAGCAGCACAGTTGCATCAGAGACCTCAGGTGAAGAAGGAAGTAGAGCCTCTGAGAGGAAGAGGATTATTATCAAGATGGAACCAGAGGACAGTCCTGCAGACGAGCTGAAAGATTTTAATATTATTAAAGTGACAGATAAAGACTGCAATGAGTCTTCTGACAATGACGACCTAGATGATGAGCAGGAAGAGCCGCTTTACAGGTACTATGTTGAGGAGGAGATCAGAGAGAAAAGAAATGCTCGGAAGACTTTAAAACCCCGTTTATCCATGGATGACGATGAAAGAAAGTGTTTACAGAGTCCACGGCACCTTAACAGGAAAGCTCCTTCAGTACAGGAAGACGTGGAGAACGCTCCCTGTGAACTTTGTGGGCTAACAATCACCGAGGAAGATTTGTCCTCTCATTATTTATCCAAACACATAGAAAATATATGTGCCTGTGGTAAGTGTGGTCAAATACTGGTCAAAGGCAAACAGTTACAAGATCATGCACAGACCTGTGGGGAACCCCAGGATCTGACCATGAATGGTATCAGAAATTCTGAGGAAAAAATGGACTTGGAAGAAAACCCTGAGGACCAGTCAGAAATAAGGGAGATGATGTTTGCAGAGATGATAGAGGACTTCAGGGACAGTCATTTCCAAATGAACAGCCTTCAAAAAAAACAGTTATATAAGCATTCTGCCTGTCCTTTCCGATGTCCTAATTGCGGTCAACGTTTTGAAACTGAAAACCTAGTGGTTGAACATATGTCAAACTGCCTAGAGCAAGATCTGTTCAAGAATTCCATGATGGAAGAGAATGAGAGAGATCACAGACGTAAGCATTTCTGCAATCTTTGCGGGAAAGGATTTTATCAGCGTTGTCACTTGAGGGAACACTATACTGTTCATACCAAGGAAAAACAGTTTGTTTGTCAGACATGTGGGAAGCAGTTCTTAAGAGAGCGCCAGTTGCGGCTCCACAATGATATGCACAAAGGAATGGCCAGGTATGTCTGTTCCATTTGTGATCAAGGAAACTTCAGAAAACATGACCATGTACGGCATATGATATCTCACTTATCAGCTGGAGAGACTATATGCCAGGTCTGCTTTCAGATATTCCCAAATAATGAGCAACTGGAGCAGCACATGGATGTTCATCTGTATACATGTGGAGTATGTGGAGCAAAATTTAATTTGAGAAAAGATATGAGATCCCACTATAATGCCAAGCATTTGAAAAGAACATAAGCATAATCATACTGTTAAAGCATTAAGTTGGCAGCAGAGAGAACACCAAAGCAAGGCATACAGTATAGTAGACAAAAATTACAAAAAAAATTTTTTTGAAAATAAGTCTTTTTTATTATTTTTTTTAAGACCCTCTTAATCATAGGTGTCTATTTAGGCTCATTAAGTATATAGCTTTGAAAAGCATCGTGTTTAATTATTACATTTTCACTGTTTCCTAATACCAGTTTCTGTTCTTAATTTTATTGTTTTACTAAGTAGATATACAAATCATTATTTTTAAACTGTAGATTAAAAGCACAATGTTACCCCTTCACTGACTGCTATTAAACAGTTCTCAGATCCATGTCCATAAGATGAGTGCTTCAATATTTCCACGTGTTGTTTCTTCATGTGAAAATTTTAGATCACAGTGATTAACATGCAAGAGCATAATTGTTTGTGCTCCCCAAATTAATTTTCAAAATGAAAAAGAACAATGACAAGAAATAATCCTTTGCTCTCTGACCCTGCTGTAAGGGCAGAGCTGGCTGTCCTGATCCTCTGCTTCTTGCCTTTGTTGAAATTTGCATCCCAGTGGTCCGAGCGCGTAGGCTCAGTTAAACCTTGCAGAGTTGGACTGGCGTGCGCAAAGGGAAAGGGAGTTGATGACTTGTGATAACTGAGGAGTTCCCTGCAGAGTGGTCATTTTCCAGACTTGAAATTCTAGCAGAACTGTAACGGGCACTTCTGCTGTACAACTGACATTGGCCTTGTGTTGTCTATCTGTACCCACCTGGGTCTATATAACCTGCTTATCGTAATATACAAGGGAAGACTGGCTATGGTGGATTGCTAGGAATACGGAATTGTGATGTACATTGAAGGCTGCATTTCTCAGCCTAGCTGTAAATGGGTGCCTTGCTGCTTTTGTTGGGAAGTGAAGTGGGATGGGTGTGAAGATAGTCCCATTGCTTGGGTGGGAAGGGGAAGGGGGAGCGTGGCTCATGTTTATCTTAGATTTTTTTGTTTCTTGTTTTCATTAAATTTTCTGACTGTTCTGTTTTTCAATGAGAATATAACAAGAAAAGACTGCAGAGTTTGCTTAATAAATGCAAAGACATTTAATGCCTTTTAAGATTTCTTTCTGATTCTAGTATAGCCCCAATCTGTGTAGCTTGTCTCTTAATTCAGTTGAATTTAAAAATCATACTAAGTATCAGCTGGCAACGACTCAGTGAGGCAGTCTGGCCTTTGAGAGAGCAACCGGCTTTAACTCTTAGGCATCAGCTGTATGTTTGTTTGTTAAGCGCATGGTTTTTAATTGTGGGGGAATAGGATCCTAAAACAAAATGGTAGAGAAAACTATTACAAAATAAAGGCTACCTGGACTTTCTCCCAGCAGATACCACTTTATCAAAGAGGGTGATAGCACTATTTCCCACCCATGGAGAGAAGAAAGTGATTTTGACCACCTTGTGTGTCAGTGCTGGGGCTGAGAGCAGGAGCTGATGGCCTAGTCCAGGGCTTCCATGCTCGTGTTGCTGTCAGAGTTGTTTCTTGGAGATTATCAGGGGTATCCCACTTCAATGTTAGACTATTTAGAGAAACTAATACAGTTCAGAATCTCTACTGTAACTGAGTATCAATCATCTTGCATTTACTTAGTTTTAGTCAGTATTTCTCTCAGGAGTTTAACGAGCATTTCTCCTAAGGCACGGTGATGGCGACGGGCCCAGCCACCAGGCCGCAGCCCTGAGCTCGCAGCTGGCTCCCAGGACGCTGCTTCAGTTGCAGCATAAGCCTTTTGCATTTCTGCTGTGACTGCTCAATCTTGCCGTTTCTTGTACAGATCTGAAGCCAGCCAAGTCCTGAATAGCGCTGGGACTGAAAACACTGCTGATGTTAATGCACTCCAGCGTTTCGATTAATTCTGAGCTTCTCTTGTCCTGGGATTTGTTCCACGATTCTAAGCTGGACTGAAGCATAAAAGCATATAAGAATTAAAAGATAAGCATATAAGAATTAAAACAGCCACTTATAACAATTGTAGCTCTGGATCAGTGGCAAGAAGGGGACTAGCAGGATATTAAAATATTTAACTGTCTGTAATGATCATCTTAGAGACAAAGCAGTCAGTCCAGTGCTGTAGAAGCGCTGGGAGGCCTAATGGGGTGCACACCAAATTTCTCTGACATGCAGATTTTCAAGATATCGTAAGATATCAGCTGAACTGGGAAAAGCAGCTGAGGGAAGTGAGGGAGAGCTGGAAGGTGCTAGGGGAGTTGACAGAGGAGCCCTGTGGTACGGGGTGAGCTGCAGGAGTGGGAAGGCTTGGTGGGAGAGCAGGGACTGGTAAAGTCTGGAAGGGCTCAACAGAACTAGTTGTAGAGTGGGAAGCAGAGGGGAAAACATCCCAAAGGTGGCACGGAGGGGGAGCCTGGAGGAGTGGGTGGATAAAATGTCCTGTAGACGCCTGTGAGACCAAAGTGAGCATGACTCAGCTTGGCTGGGAGAGCTCTTGGCCTGTGTGATTAGCTCACTACGGCACAGACTCATGGTGTGGATCGTATGCCGAGGACAGCCAGCCCCTGTGCTGGAAGCACTGCAGTGGCACAGCAGAGAGCAGATTAAGGATCTTGTTGAAAAGGTGACTTGTATAAACTGAAAAATTGTTCCAGAATACAGGGGAAGGCTAATGGTAATTTGTGGACACTTCTGCTCAGGGTCAAGAGCCCTTCTTTAAAATCTGAACTTGACCCAAAAATACTTCAACAATGACAACAAAAACTCAACAAACAAACCGAACTTCCTGATTTGGGTAGAGTGTCAATTACAGTAGTTAAATCTAGGAATCACGAGTATTTGGGTAATACCTAACTCTACAAACACTCTGAAATATCTTTGTTTTTCAAATATAAATGGTATTGTGCTATCCTTTCAAAGGAAAGTTTGTTAAAACTTTCCTATTGAATTTGATCTTTTTGTTTCATAAGAACAGGAAAAAACAGTGCCTTGGAGTTCACACGTATGAATGCCCAGAATAAGGCTCAAAAAGAGCATGAATTGGAGTGCCAGGGAAGCTTAGAGTAGATCTACTTGTATGCAGGCAGAGGAAAAAGAACGATTGAAATAGCCTGAAAAGTAATTGGGGAGTATATGAGAACAAATCAAAGGTAATAAGGCAAAAACAAAGCAGCCTTGCTCCCAAATAGATGGGGAGAATGCTTTTGGTGACGTGACAGTATGCAGAGGAACAGCATTGGACTGTTGAAGAAAAGGTCTGGAGTGCCAGGAGGACCTTAGGTGCTCTGAACAGAGAAAAGGGGTAGGTGCCAAGCCTTCCTATAGGTGTTTGCTGCTGGGGAAAGGGGTGTTCTCCCCCGAATGGGATAATGTCCGCAGGAGTGTGAATCAATGTGTTTCAGCCCTTCTGCTGTGAGAAAAATCAGTCACCGTGTAGACAGAATGAAAGTAGACCTGAAAAAAAAACAATTGCAGTTACAATATCCTAGAAGTCTTACCATTACTTGAAAGATAGTGAAGGGGAAGCAAAAATACTTCATTTAGAGTTCTGTTTCCTCTAACAAATTTGTGCTTCTCAGTCATTTAAATGTGGTGCAGGAAGGGGATGCAAAGGAACTATGTGGAGTGTTAGAGCGTTAAACCCTTAAAGCACTTAAGGATCCTTGAGTGTGGACATGTGAGCGTATCACATTAGACAAAGCATAGCCAGAAAGGAACAAGGGCTTGCTGGTTGTTCTGTCTTATATTTTAAAGTGATTTGCTATTCTTATTTCTAGAGGCTTTCTCTTTTCTGTTATTTTCCTCATTTTGGCAGTGGGGTGGGTTGCAATCCTGAAAATAATTTATTAGTAGCTAGCGTAGCTCTTAGATTTCAGGGATTTACTGAAACTCATAAAGACCTTGGGTAAGCTTTAAAATATAACAGAAGCTGCCAAGCTTCTTATTCATATCAGAGGAGATGTTTAATATGTATACACACTTGTAAAATACTTGTAAATGCTTATTGGCAACTTGTTAATTCAAAGAGTATTTACATTTGTGTAGAATAATATTTGTAGCTAGCAGGTCCATGGAGAAACCTTGATTTGGATAGATTAGAATATCACAGAACTGTAAGAATTTATACTTTTACTAGGGGACTTTATTTAACATAGTTAATGGAGAAAATACAATTCAGCATATTTTTATTCAGAGATGAAGACACTTCTGAAGACTGCTGTTCTGCAGAATGTATAACAAATACATTGTTATACAATAGAAAAGAAAAGATACAGAGAAGCGAATACTTTGAGTACGCTACTGTATTTGAACACAGCAGTGCTAAAAACATTGTGAGCATCTCAGCTATTGCTGAGGATACAAGTTAGCTCCTGATGGCAGTGCCAGCCTGGGCACTGGCAGGCCTCTTCTTCTTCCCCACCTCGTGTCAGCTCTCATACCCTTGTGTGTGTGCCACCTTCTCCATTGTCGTGGAGCATGTGTCTATGTCGCTTAACAATGAGCTACGTAGACAATGGACTTTATTTTTCCCTGTGGGGATTTTTTTTTTGGCTGGACCAGTTCCCCATTACGCTTCCCTCCCCGCCTCTGTCTCAAGCCTTGTGCGAGCACAATAGAAGGGGTGGCACGAGGGGAGAAACGAGTGGCTGGGAGGGGGCTCGTTTTCTTACACGAGCTGTGGCAGAACTCGGAGCGTGGCTGGAGCTTAACTAAGTCTCTGTCTCCCCCCAGCATCTTCGTGGAAGCTGCACTCTTAATTCATCTCCCATTTCCTGATAAGGAAAAAAGGCAGCCCAGCCTCTTGCATGCAGATGAGACACATCTATGCTATCTGCCCTCTTTATAGGAATTGGAAACCTTCCTGCGTTCAGCTCACCCCTCAAATATGCTCTGGAGCTTTCTTCGTCTTTCTTGAAATAGACGACGTAGCGCTCCGCGCTGGGTTAGTGCGGTTGGCCCGGGCCTGAGGCCAGGAATGAGCTGGGCCCCTTGGCCAGCCCAGCACCAGGAACTGCTCCCACCTTCCCCTGCTCTCTGTGCCCTCCGGCTGCAGCTGGACCCTGCTCTCATGCTGCCACGCTTTTCTATATCTTGTGATACTAGGAGACAGTTGTCCGGTTTGGTCTGATGTTGAGAGATTGGGGTAATTCCTTTTAAAGCTAAGGAGGTGCTGGCAATATCTGTTCAAACCCCAGCATGCCTGCTTCTGGATTTTAGGTGCTTCCCGATCTGAAAGGGTTAAAAATCAAATATTCTCAATTGGTTTGAAGCTTGTCACTGACTTAAAGATGGAGCATGACTAATTTGACTTTATAAAAGTCTGCTGAGGGCCAGAAATTAGGAACATGTTTTTAAAAGCTGACATTTCTGTAGTTCTCATGGCTATAAACCAGTTTTCTGCATTATCATCCAACTTTCAAAAAACCTCCTAAAAAAATTGCTGTGCAGTATGCTCTTGAGACAAGTTAGTAAGCTGAGTTTTTGAAGGTGTAAGATGCCAAAAAAAAAAAACAGGACAAGTTTTATAAATTATGTGTCTTCTGCCACTTCTACAGTTACTTTACAATTCTGGAACTAATTGTGATGTTATGTTTTCATGAAGAAAGACAAATCCTAATTTGATACAGGGCAACCGACCGCATGACTCAGGAGTCAGCTTGTCATGACTATAAATGTTCAGCCCCGAAACGAACAGCCCGTGTTCCTTCTTGTGTGCTAGGATGACCACTGCCAACTTTACAGGAGAGATGCTATCAGATCTTTCTTTGGATCATTTTTGTCCTCAACTGTCTTCTGTCTTTTTAATTGAAGTCAATATTGGGCATCATGTTTTTAGAGAAACTGTTTCCTGTATACATTTGCTATTAAAAAGCAGTTGAAAATGTATTTTTAAAGTTTCAGATTAGTGTGTGTAAGGGAACATATTGAAATTATAAGAAGGGCAAACAAAGACCAGATTTTAACTGCCCCTTTGTTTCACATTGCCAGCCTGCCACGCCTCATCCCGAGAACCTAGGATTTCAGAAGTGTCCAGTATCTTTGATTTTCTTGTAAGTCAGAGGGATACCTCTGTTGTGCACTATGGTCTTACGCCCCATATTAATAATCATTTTCTAAAATACACATCTGTCTCATGGTGTATTAAAACATACAACTTTAACTTTTACCATTCGGAGAAAACAAACAAAAAAAGTTTAATCCTTTCTTATGCCTTCTGGCATACTAAAACTATAGTAAATCTTCCTGCAACTACAACCACAAAAACAATGCTGTTTCTCATGTTTCCTGTGGGAGAAAAAAAATTGAGCCCTTTCAGAGCTGTTTAAGAACTTCCCTCTCAATGACTAAGTCTTGATGCTGGTGTTGTTTTTACTTACTGTGATTTGCATCAATGAGATTTTGGGGTGTGTGTGTGTGTGTATAGATATAGTAAATGAGATGATCTCAGACAAGTGTGCCTTGTGGTTCTGCAGACATCCAAGGACTCCTGAGAGGGAATGAGAAGCGAGCATTCCTCAAAGGTCTCAAAATCCCAGAAGCTGGGTGGACTGTCGGAAATCCACTGGGAAATCCAGGGCTTTCTGTAAATCCTTGGTTTCCAAACCTGTCTGTAAGGCAAAGTGTCAATGCATTGCCAAGGTCTCTGCAGCAGTACTGTTGCCAGCATGAAAGATGCAAAAAACAGACCTTCCCTTGGGCTTGTTTTCTTTCTCCCCTGTTACAAGGTTTTTATGTTAAAAAATCATCCTTTCAGCTTTTCTGTTTGCAAAGGCGAGGGCTAAAAATTTGCCTTTTTCTTACATGTTCATTTGAACCTACTGCTTTAAAAAATAAATGATAAAAGTAGTGCGAGTTGGTGACTCAGTGATACCTATTCTCTCCTTTTTTAGGTAACTGTCCCACTACACTGGGGATGGTTACCAGAGGGGCATCTGCTTATGAGTCCCCAGAAAATTAATAGGAAAAATAACGTGATGGTCTCTCCGTGGAAAACAAAACAGAACACAAGACCATGAGTTTGTGGAAATACCAATACATTGACTAAAAATAGGGGGTTCTGAGTATCATAGATTAATTTTGGTTTTGGCAATAGATATACCATGCCTGTGGTGTCTGCCACACTCCTTTCTTTTGTAAAAGTCATTGTTAGAGCATTTATTTGGGGTGTGAAAGATGGTGCTTCTCTTCTGTCCCTGCCTACAGGGTTTCTACATCCCCTGAGAGAGTTTCAGCTAACAAACTGCTGAGATTCTGGTTTTTAGCCATTGGTTATTTAATTATTTATACAAAGGAGAAGTATTTTGAGATGAAATCTACAATATCTTTCCTTCAGCAGAAGGAAAAATACAGCAGGATTGTAGGGGGGAAATACAGGGAAGTGATCCTGGGAACTGATCTTAGTACCTCCCATAGCCCAGGAGAGCTCAGATCTCTCAGCTGTGTTGCTATCAGATAGATTAAACCTAATTTTTGTGCACTTACACGTGCTGTAAAGCCCAGCACCAATTACAGTCTGGGTGCCTGGACGTGTGAGGGTAAGCCCCACCTAGGCTGCTTTCAGGCGGGGTTGTGTTTCATGTAACTTTCACTGGCTGATGCTGACATTGTCATTCTGCCACAAGAGACAGTTCCTGATGAACAGTAACTTAGAAACTGAAAAATGTGTTAATTAAGATGCAAGAAATCTCCCAGTAATTACTACAGTTCTTTCTGCTCTATTTTGCTGTGCAAACAAACAGTTAAATAGTTCAAAGGCATTTTTCTTTGTAGAATGCTTGTTTGATTGAGTTCAGTGTGGCTTAGACCCCAAATAAAAATACTAGTTTCAAACAGAGCACTACTATAAAAGTAGAAATAGTCTGTGGCCTTCTAGACCTCACAAACGATGTTGATTTGTTACACAGAGTCAAAACAAAGATGTCCCTTAAAACACATGCACATTAACTCAGTGTCTTTCATATACCACAACCTTTTATCTCAGATCAGCTTTCCTCTCCACTCACTATGGCTTTGCCAAAATCCCTGAGATCCTCGATGAGCTATAGACTACTCAGCAAAAATCATACCGTGTATGAATGGGCCGTCTAGCTTGGATTATTAGAGAACAGGCTTTGAGAGCTTCAGCTCCTGTTTTCTAAGCTTGAAGTACTACATCCCTCAGATTTTAGAACGGTGCTTATCTTCTCTTCCTGATCCCCTTTATGTTAAAGAAAGCGGGGTGACAACCCTGTAGATGCTTCTCTTTTAAAGGGAGCTTGGAAGATATTGTTAATTGGGGTGGCGGCGGCTTTTTTTTCTTCTTCTTCTTCAGGTCCTTAGTTGGCTGAATATTCAGATTTCTAATAAATATGCTAAGCATTAAAAAAACGTTATTAGTATGTGGTGAGATAGGCTGAGTTCAACCACTTAATGTAACAGTCAAACCCATGCAGATGCTAGTAGTACGGGAACCTGGTCTCATGCCAAATCTGGAGAGTTATCTTTGATCTATCTCCAGATCCCCCTTTTATTTGTAAACATCCAGCTAATCACAGACTTCCTCTGACTTTTATGAAGTGGAAAAAACTGCATCCTTTGTAACATCTATGCAGTGTGTTAACTTTGCAGATGTTCATGGACTTGTGCGCTGGGAGGTATGAGCTCCATCTGGCGGCTAACTTAAAACATGCACATTTCTACTTAAAAGGCGGACTATTTCTGCAGTTCAGCGGAGTTTAATGTGTGAAGAGTGTAGAAGATCCTCTGTGTATTCCTAAAGCAACTTCTGTTTTTAGGGGTAGCCTGAAGATTTTAAAGTATGGGAGGAGGGCACAACATTATACCTCTAATGTAGCTCGCTGTGGGCTACCAGCTATTACCACTGCCAGCAGCACGTTGGTATTCATAGCTCTGTACATACACCACACAACCACAGTTGGCACTAATTAACAGTATTTTTGCAGTCTCATTGGAAAAATGTAATTTAATATTCATAGGCAACCCACCTTCCCACACTCAGGGGTGGTCCCACACAGCCCAGTTGGCGTATTTGAGGGTGGTGGTGTAAAGAAGCTCAGTCATGCTGCATGACTTGTGTGTGATTGGCAAGCAACAGGGATCTTTGCCTGGAAAATGTAGGCCAGCATCTTAATAAACGTTGATATTAAGCATGGATATTGCCTGGGTAAAAATAATGTTCATATGCACATCGTAATTACAATATTTTGTCTCCTTTGTTAATTTATAAACAAAAAAATGCATTTCCTGGCCTTTGAGCCAGTCACATAAGAGCTACTTTGAGATAACAGCACCAGTCCAATGAATTCCCCACCGAGATTCAAGGCGTGTAGTAGGTAGCTGCGCCGAATATACACGTGCTTGCTGCCAGAACCAGCAGCCTGTTGCAGCTAGCAGTTTGCCCAGAGGTGTGCCAGGAAATTCAGCCTTCGGGATGCTCTGGCAGGTACACAGTGCTGATACACCTGCCTTCCCGTGCAGCCTCGAAGGTCGTCCTGCTCTGCAGTTTAGACACAACCACTGGGTCTGGTGCTGTCATTGTGCACTTAGAACATCAGGTGTTAATTAGCCAGTAGTTAGGTGAAAGTGGGACAATCGTATACTTTGTACAACGTGATTCACCTACGCAGAGAAAGAAGTCAGTGATACCAAGAAAAAGCCCTCAGAGGATTGTCTTTAAAAGTTACTTCCACATGTTTCCAATTTCTTGACTGTTCGTATCGGATACAAAGCTGCTCACATGTGTCATAAATTAGTGCGGTCCAAAAATATCACAGGAATTGCAAATATTTATATTATTTAGCTGCATTTAACCCAAAATAATAATACTGGGGAGGTTGAGTAAATACGTAATAGTCATCCCTGAACGAGTAAAAGTAAAAATAATGAAAATGAATGAAGAGGCAAATATGAAGCAGTGAGAAGTGTTCCAGAGCGGTGGGTGTTCCAAGCTATGAGAAGAGTAGGCTGAGGGGAAATAATACTCATGTAACTTTTCAAGCATCCACTAAGCCAAGCCGTAAACCACTGCTGGAAAGTTACACATACAGCAGCAAAAATAACCTCTGGGAGGCTTAGGAATTGAAGTTTTTCTTCAGAAAATCTGTAGTTGTTTTGAAAATGAAAAGTAAAGGAGAAGAAAACAAACAAATGAAAAGTTTCTGAAACAAGATTGGAACATTGTTTTAAGGTTAAATTGTGTTTTGGTGGGGTAGGGATTGAAGGAAAGGAACCATATGGCTTTTAAACAGAGTTCCCTACTGTGGTGGGTGCTCTGAATATAACTGAAGGATGGTATTTGGAGCAAAACCACACCCCAGTGAGGTGGGAGGGACCACATCATGCTAGCAAATATAGTACTAGAGTGTGGGCTTCTGACTTTTAATACTTTTCTTGCATTTCTTTTCTGCACGGCAGTAGTGAAATAGGGACTTCTAAGCTTCTGAACAACTGAGAGAACCAGGTTTGAAGAAGACATGAGGAAGAACTGGTCGGCAAAAGATTTCATAAAAACTCAGAACCGCGTGTGCCAGATCTGCATTGGCACCACCTTTGCTTTTTTGACATACTGCAGCAGTCGCAAAAGGCACCAAAGCAGTCAAATTAGAACATTCAGTAAAAGTCGTTTGGGACTCTTCTCTGTGTTACAAAAATTTACTTCCTTGTGACTATTATTTACACCTGTCAAAAACAAATTTGAAGTCTCTTTCATGGAGCAGACAGCCAAAAGAGACAGATGCCAGGTATCGAGGGCTGCACTGAAATGAGCTTGCAGAATTTGCTATTCTTATGCTGCAGCACTGCTTATACAAAATGTGGCTTATTAGGATTTCTGTCAAAAGCTGTTTAGACTTTTTAGCTTAAATATTAAAAGTATATACTCAAGAATTAAAACTTACGCATTTTCAGACAGTTACAATGCTAAGCTATCAAGTGTTAGAAGAGAGAAAAAATGTTTTAGTCTGAACTACAAGGTCAAAAAAAAACTTAAAAACTGAGCACAAAGTGCCCTGAGGAAGGCCAGGATGTTGAGAAAGATCCAGCTGACCAGATTCCCCTTGCTGCCATGATCATCATTTGCAAGCTGAAGAGGACCTTCCCTGGAGCTCAGTGCTTGTATGTGGAGAGTAAAGAAATGGTGCTCTGGTCTTATTACAAGAATGGTGAAAAATTGTGACCAACAAGGAGATGAGTAAACGTGAAATAACCTTCACAGGGCACAGTGTGCACAATGTTCTGGATCTAAGCCTTGCAAAAGCTGGTTTGAAGAAGAAAATCAGGCATTCAGTTTCAGATTTGAGTATTGTAGGAACCCTGATATTTCCAGCCAAATTTATGGAAAACAAACGAGCAAACAAAACAAAGCAAGGCAGTAAATGTTTCAAATTAGGGCCAGAACGGCTTAAAAAGTATTAATTTATTTTGCTTCTCCAAACAACAGTGGATCAGTTTGAGACATGTAAGCAGACTAAACATGCTGATCTATATTCTGCTCTAGTTATGCATCTTACTAATTCTACTCATGACTATAAAAGGATGTTTCATTGTTCAGTACAACTGTTATCTCAATAAGTCTGTCTACAGTTTTATTTATAATCAGCATTATTTTCATTACTATTGTTATGAAGTGTGTACAATATTGTCTGTATTGCAGCTTGTATAGGGCATATGTCTGTGCTTGCTTTACTCTTTTTGAGTTTATAAAGTTGCTATACAAACGCAAGAAAAGATGTTCAGATATCTTTGAATGTGGTTGCTTAATCTGATTACGTAGCCCCAGACATTTCAGCATTTAGGTGTTTAAGTTATCAGCAGTATTAACACCAAACATCTTAAACATAAACAGGAACTTTAACAGCCTTCAGTACCATAGTGGAACGCTGACCCTTCTGTCCCAGTTGCTGTGCTGGAGCTATGGGGAAGACAGTGATTATGTAGAACATGCAAGACACCACTGGGGAGTCCTCAGGGAGAAGGCTCAGCACAGCTGGGGACTCTAACAGAAACTCTGACATCCTTTCTGTAGAGAACAGGAAGCACCCTTGCAGTAGCACCACCACCACGCAGAGGAGAGAAGGGAACTATGTTTATAACATCACCTAAAGACAGGCCTGGAAGTATTGAGACAAATCTTGCTTTTTATTTTTTATTTTTTATTTTTATTTTTTTTTTATCCTTAAGCATAGGACATCTAGAACAGGCTGTTACTGTTCTGTAACTTAGCAATTATTTGTAGCTTGTGTAGACTATCAGTGAAGACATTCCAGGTTAGTTTTCATCACCTTTAAAGCTTAATCTGTGCTTTGATACAGTATCTTAAATAAAATTTTCTTACAAGTCTGCTTATTATTTTTATTTAATTCCATCTTCTACCTGAGTTCATAACAGCTGCAGCAACAGGGTGAAGTTCCAGTTACCATCTGCTTCATCTGCTCCTGCATTTTGCCCATTCACCTGATAAGTGACAGTGTTGAAAACTGAGATGAGTAAAAATCAAATAATCACGGGAATGAAAAAATACATGAAACCCATAGCACTGCTATGGTTCAGTTATCACCAAAATTCTTCACACTAAGCATTTAAGTGAATCTGAGAGATTAATCAAATGACATTGACCTGTGAGTATGAAGTATTGGTCTTTCTTGTGTTTACAGGATACCATTTTCCTTGTTTAAGACATCATCATTTCTTCAGCTCTATAGTTACTGCCAATAATTACAGTATGTTTAATGCCATTCATAGCTGTTCTACATAAAATTCTCTGCTTTCATTTATTAACCGCCCCTAACATACAGTATTATTTTATTATCTTCAAACAAGACCAAGCAGATTTAGTCTTTAAGTGTACTAGAAGATAACATTAGAATTCAAAATAATTTTGGCAAGGTGCAGATATGATCTAAAAACATAAGGTGTTATTTAATAGGAACAAGTGCAAGTTGGAATCGTTAACTGTGTAAGTAAAGGAACAGCTGCTTAATTTCCACTGAAAAGATTTTGTGTGTTATTTTGGATCAAATTCCAACAATGACTCTGCAATGTTATGCTGCTGCAAGTAGAGGTGAAAATTTTGATGTAGCAGAATCTGCTCCTTCAGAACTACTAGGGTGTGAGCTACTGATGTGTCCAGTTTTAAAAAAAAGAAAGAAAGATACAGGTCATATGCAGAGAATCCAAGAGAAAGCAGTGTGAATGTCTAGAAAACGTTGCCTTTGAGGATAGATCAACAGATTTTAGGTCATCTTACAGAAGAGATGGCATAGGGGAAATATGAAATACGTGGATATAAAATATGAATATAAAAGCTGCTGGCAAAGAAAAATAGAATAATGTTTTCTCATATCCACAATTGATAGGAATAGAAAAATAATTGGCTTAAATTGCAAGAAAGGAGACTTTGGTTAGGCACGAGTAGACTAAGTGACCTGCAGAGGTCTTTTCCTGATATGATTCTACGATTTAAAGCAAACTAGCTGCTTTAAAGTCCCCTATTTGTTGCTCGCAGTAGGGCTGGCACTGTCTGTTAGAAACGGAGGTTGCAGTTATAAAAAGTAGTCAAGAAAGGAATGCCTAAGGTGCACAGCACACCAGTTTATCTACTTAGCATTAGTGATACTAACCTCAGCTTTTAATCATGCCTCAGAAACTGTCAGAAGTATATGTAAATAAGATGCTCTAAAACCACTTAATTACAAAATCCTTATTCCTGGAAACATCAGGAGTTAGTTTAATCAGTGTTACCAACGTTCTTGATTTTATTGAGTCTAATCCATCTGATGCAGTCTGGTTTTAGTTGTGAAATGGTGTAATCAGATATTTTATTTCTTAAATTATGAAATAAAACCAAACCAAAACAACAACAACAACAAAAAAACAAACCTCTAAAAATTACATGGAAAATCCTTAAAGTGTAATCAGAGCATATGCTAAAGATTAAAAAGCCAGAGGTGAATAAAGTCACGTGTTTTTTAAGCTCATAATTTTAAACAAGTTTATAATTTTAGGAGATCTGACTCATGATTTTTGAACTTCTGGTTTGGCAATACTAAATTACTGCACCCTATGTTCTGCTATTCTGAGTATTTCCATATTACTGATCATGCATTTGTGTAATTTGCAGAAAACGTGTTATACTGACTTGCAGTTTCTTTTCTTTCTTTTTTTTTTTCCCCCACACACAAAAACTAGCATTTATTTAAGAAAAACACCTGTAATAGGACTGTCTTTCAAAACAAGTAGTGTCTGCTTGCAAAAAGTGGAAGTATCTGAAGACAAAATAACACCAAAAAAAAAAAAGTTAGAAAAATAACATAAAAAGTTACAAAGTTAAAATTGCAGTTTTTAACACAGCAGCAACTTGTCAGAAGAATCTGTTGCCATTTCAACCACTTCTTGTCTGAATTCCAATTCCTGTGTATATATTCACAAATAGGAATGAGATGAAGAGTTTCAGCAATGGAAGGGTAGTTAGATAAAGTGTTATTTGTTCTTGGAACAACTGTTGCTTAGATTTTTCTGAACTGGGTGTTGTAAAAGAATTCATTTACCCTCACCGATACAATCTGATTTATGCTATTTTTTTGGACAGCTTTGATAAGGAAATGGCTACTAATCTCCAGAATTTAAGGTCTAAGATCTTCTTATCATCAGATGACCTGAACTCCTGTATATGACAGGCCATTACATTTTATCATCTCAATGAACCAAGCAGCTGATATCTGATTAAACTGTAACTAGTGTTCACTCCTATTTCTATACTACATTGCTTTATGACATACGTTGGAAAAAGAAATAATCATACTTTTATCAAGATAAAGATATGGGCTGAGTGCTCAGTTCTGCTCCAGATACTGAGCTCTTGCTTCATTGAAGAAATCTAAATATCATCTACAGTTCTGGCTGGGTGGTGTAATGGAGAATAGCCTACAGCGTATTGCATTACTGCCAAACAGGAGCCATGGGATCGATCCTAAACACAAATAAATGTATCAGAAAGAGCCCCACGTGCTTCCAGAGGTGCCAACCGGCTGCTCTGGAAGTATTAAAATATGTTTTACAGGTTCAGGATGAGGGAATCCCAGCAAATGTTTTCTTTAAAGGGAAAATCAGACTTGTGCTAAAGTCCTCAGCATAAAGTGTGCTCTCTAATTTCTGAACCAGTCTGTTTGGCTCACCTGTAACATGACTGCATATGAAGCAACATAAAAGAAAATCATGTGGCTCTTCCCATATGAGAGGATGACTGTAGAGATGAGTTGGTGCACAAATTGTGCTGCAAGTCTTAAGAGAACTGCTGACAAAAAGCAGGCGTGTAATAGCTCTGCTGAGAAGAGAGAATAAGTCTAATGAGGCTTTAGAGGTTGTTCCCTCGAGTTAGACTGGACTTTCTCTAAGGACATCTGTAGGAGATGAGAGATGACGGCAAGAAAATCATGTCAATTTTTGATTGGGAACAAAAGTTTAAAAAGAAGCTCAGACCTATGTGTATTGATGTATGAGAAGAAAACAGCATCTGTGTGCTCAGCTGGAAAAGAAATTCTTCTGCAGCAGGCTAAATGAAATATTTGGTAGCCTGAGTCTACAGGCCTTTTGATTTTTCCTGACATTGTCCCTGATTGTCCATAATTTACACCATTAGCATTAAAGTGGTATGCTTATGCATTCCTCCCAGCTATTTTCTCCAAATTCATGATAGCAAAACTACAATTAAAAAAATTTAAATAAATGAGGGAGTACTATTAGGGTAAGCAGTAATCCCAATCAGTGCAAACAGCTCTTTAGCGGGTTATCAGCGCATCTGGATAGCTGCACAACTACACCAGGGCCATCATATTAGTTATTAGGCCAAGGCAACCATCACCCCAAACAAGTTTTGTCTGGAGCAGCTGTGCATATTCTGTGCCTGGGCTGATGAAACTCACAGCTGAAAGCTTTGGGCCAAATTCATGAAATCTCCTTTCTGAAGCTGATAGAACCTGTTTGATTACACCTACATCTGAATGAGATATCAAATTAATTTTGATATAAAGACATTATTATCTGCTTATTGTGCTAATCAAGATTTCTGCGTCATTTCCTGGACCATTTGCTCTTTCCTTCTCTTTCTACAGAGGCAGGAATACTCTTTTTATTCTTAAATATCAGTGTCTGAGTTTACATTGCATCTACCAAAACTGGGTCCTCGTGCATTCTCATGCACGTTCCACAATCCTCACAAGGACACAAATAACAAACGGCCTCTATTTTTCACCTGGAGCTGAATCTGTCAGCCAACTCTCTTTGTATCTCTCCAGCATTTCTCTCTGCTCCACATGATACCATCAACTGCATGAAGGAGCAGGGAAGTACAGGAAGAGATAGTTCAGTGATGAATCAGTCACTGGTCTGACTACAAGAGCCACCGACACCCTTCCCATCACAGAAACCAGCACACGGGAGGCAGAGAACCTCCTGCTGGAGGTACGGGGGCTGACACCTTCCATTTTCCATTCCCTTCTGGATTTCTCCGAGGTCGGAACCGCTGTGTTAAAAAGGATTGGGATGTGTGGAATAGTTACCTAAGCATGTTCATTATTTACCATCAGAAAGGGAAGCCCTTCTGTCCCCAGACTACATACATGCCTGCTACGTAAGAGGCAGAATTCTCATGTCGTGTAAAAAATGCTTTCAAAAACAAACTAATTGAACCAAGGATGTTTCTGAGAGGGTGTAATAACTGCACAAGCACAAGCCATGCTGGCAAAAGCTGTAACATTTTCTACGAGGGCTGCTATAACATAATGCTGAAGGCTGGGGACAACATTCACGACAGATGATTTAAACATACACTGTGTTTAATCCTTCCTTCACGTAACACAAAACTCTGCGTGTAGCAGACTTTCGGCTGCTCTTTTGAAGCAGCAATCCACAACTCGCGCACGGGAAGAGCGATCTCAGCGCGGCATTTTGCTCTCCTGACTATAATTGGAATATCTTGAAGTGTTTGTCTCAAACTCAGGAGGAATAACTCGGAGCCACCACGGCAGATTTTCACGTTTAATGCCTTCTCATCAAAGCCCTCGCCTCACTGCGAGTTAACAGCCCCCCCCCCTCCAACCCCCCCAAGCCTTTGCTAAATGTAGGCGTGACGGCATTTTAACATTAGCACAACAGACAAAAATTTGGAGGCGTTTCAAGAATGGCCAGCAGGCAGCAACAGGGCTCCCCTCCAGCCGCCCACGCTGCTCCTTTTTTTTTTTTTTCCAGAGGGGACAGCGAGGAGGTGGCAGCGCCCCGCGGGCAGGGCTGCTCGGGGCGGCGGGCAGCTCGGCCGTCTGTCAGCTCGCCAAATTCAGCCGAAATAAGGCTAAAAATCGCCTAAAAATCGGGACGGCCGCTCTGCCATAGAGGGAACGAGCCGAGCGCTGAGGAGAATTCACCTCAGCAGCGGCCAAGAGGCGGGGGGGGGGGGGGGTGTATGGGGGGGGCGCCTCAGCTCGCTGACGAGACGGGGGCGGGCTGGCGGCGTGAGGGGAGACGGGGGGGTGAGGGGGGCAAAACTGCCGCCTTGCGACCAAATAAGGGTAAATTCGCCACCAGGCGGCCGCTGGGAGGTGACACGCGGCGTTTGACGGAACTTTCAGGAATTATAAGCGCTGTGGGGGGGCCGCTGCCCCGTTGCCCCCCCCCCCTCCTCCTCCCACCCCTGGCGCCCCTCAGGGGCTCGGGGTGACTCTGAGGGGGGGGGGCGCGTGCCCAGCCCCTTGGCAGCGCGGCGCGAGTTGCGTAGCGACCACGCCCCGCCCCCCGGCCCTCCTGCCCGCTTCCCATTGGACAGCGCTGACGTCAATCCCCCGGCCCTTGCGCCCAGCGTCCAGTGGAACTTTCTAGCAGAGTTTCGGGCGCGGGGGGGGGCGGGGCCAGCGGGGAGCGCGCGCTGTGATTGGCCCGCGGCCGTGGCGCACGCTGCCAAGCGAGAGGGATCGAGAAACAACAGGAAGAAGGCCGCCGGCCGCCCCGAGGGGCGTGGCTAGAGGAGGGGCGGAGCGCTGCTGATTGGCTAGGAGGCAGGGGGCGGGCGCTGCTCGTGGAGACGCGGCGGTGATTGGTCGGTCGCGGCAGGCAGGCTTCTGGATTGGTCCGCGGCGTTCTGGCAGGTTCCAGAAGGAGGCTGAGCGGGCTATAAAAGGGGCGCGGGCGGCGCGGCAACGGCAGAACGCGCCGCGGCAGGCAGCGGGAGCGGGTGGCGGGGACGTGACCGGGAGCCAACGAGCAGCTGATCGCAGAAAGCCGCCGTCATGTCTGGCAAAGGGCCGGCGATCGGCATCGACCTGGGCACCACGTACTCGTGTGTGGGCGTCTTCCAGCATGGCAAAGTGGAGATCATCGCCAACGACCAGGGCAACCGCACCACGCCCAGCTACGTGGCCTTCACCGATACCGAGCGGCTCATCGGCGACGCCGCCAAGAACCAGGTGGCGATGAACCCCACCAACACCATCTTCGATGCCAAGCGCCTCATCGGCCGCAAGTACGATGACCCCACCGTGCAGTCGGACATGAAGCACTGGCCCTTCCGCGTGGTGAACGAGGGTGGCAAGCCCAAGGTGCAGGTGGAGTACAAGGGCGAGATGAAGACCTTCTTCCCCGAGGAGATCAGCTCCATGGTGCTTACCAAGATGAAGGAGATTGCTGAGGCCTATCTGGGGCGCAAGGTGCAGAACGCTGTCATCACGGTGCCTGCTTACTTCAATGACTCCCAGCGCCAGGCCACCAAAGATGCTGGCACCATCACCGGCCTGAACGTGATGCGTATTATCAACGAGCCCACAGCAGCTGCGATAGCCTACGGCTTGGACAAGAAAGGTACTCGGGCTGGCGAGAAGAACGTGCTCATCTTTGACTTGGGAGGGGGCACTTTTGATGTTTCCATCCTTACCATTGAGGATGGCATCTTTGAGGTGAAGTCCACAGCTGGGGACACCCACCTGGGGGGGGAGGACTTTGACAACCGCATGGTGAACCACTTTGTGGAAGAATTCAAGCGTAAGCACAAGCGTGACATTGCTGGCAATAAGCGTGCGGTGAGGCGACTGCGTACGGCTTGCGAGAGGGCGAAGCGCACTCTCAGCTCTTCCACGCAAGCTAGCATTGAGATCGACTCCCTGTACGAGGGCATTGACTTCTACACTTCCATTACTCGTGCCCGCTTTGAGGAGCTCAATGCCGACCTCTTCCGTGGCACCCTGGAGCCTGTAGAAAAGGCCCTGCGTGATGCCAAGCTAGACAAGGGCCAGATCCAGGAGATCGTGCTGGTTGGAGGCTCCACCCGTATCCCCAAGATCCAGAAACTACTACAGGACTTCTTCAATGGCAAAGAGCTCAACAAGAGCATCAATCCTGATGAGGCTGTTGCTTACGGTGCGGCCGTGCAAGCGGCTATCCTCATGGGAGACAAGTCCGAGAACGTGCAGGATCTGCTCCTGCTGGATGTCACCCCCCTGTCCCTGGGCATCGAGACAGCCGGCGGGGTGATGACCGCCCTCATCAAGCGTAACACCACCATTCCCACCAAACAAACGCAGACCTTCACCACCTACTCAGACAACCAGAGCAGTGTCCTGGTCCAGGTGTACGAGGGTGAGAGGGCCATGACCAAGGACAACAACTTGCTGGGCAAGTTTGATCTGACAGGCATCCCCCCAGCGCCCCGTGGGGTCCCCCAGATCGAGGTTACTTTCGACATAGATGCCAATGGTATCCTGAACGTCAGTGCGGTAGACAAGAGCACGGGTAAGGAGAACAAGATAACCATCACCAACGACAAGGGTCGCCTCAGCAAGGATGACATTGACCGTATGGTGCAAGAAGCAGAGAAATACAAAGCAGAGGATGAAGCCAACAGAGATCGGGTGGGAGCCAAGAACTCGCTCGAGTCCTACACTTACAACATGAAGCAGACGGTGGAGGATGATAAACTGAAGGGAAAGATCAGTGACCAGGACAAGCAGAAAGTGCTCGACAAGTGCCGGGAGGTGATCTCTTGGCTCGATCGCAACCAGATGGCTGAGAAAGAAGAGTACGAGCACAAGCAGAAAGAGCTGGAGAAACTCTGCAACCCGATCGTCACAAAATTGTACCAGGGAGCTGGAGGAGCTGGGGCAGGTGGATCCGGTGGCCCGACCATCGAAGAAGTAGATTAAAAGGACTGAGCACAGACTGGTTTATGGACAGTCACTCCATTCTTTGCTTTATATTTTTCTAACGTTTAAGAAAAACGTCATTGCCAATAACAGAGTTTATTCTGTTGGGTGTGTATAAAGGCAGATCTATCAGCTTGGTTTTGATAAAAGGGAAGGCACGTCCTGCTTTATAAGGTTAGTAATAGAGAAGTTTTGTTAATTCAGATACAGCTACTTGTATTCTGGATGTTTGTCTCTGTTTAAGTGTCTCTTCTAAAGTAACCACGCAACTGTTGCAGTTGACAAGTTTCAAGTTATGCATGGGGAAAAAAAAAACTTTATGGAAGATGAGAAATGCCGAACTTCTGGAAATTTTGGTAATAAATAAAATGTATTTAAAGCATAAATCTAGCTTCCTTCATTTTGTGGGTGGGGGGCGGTGGGGTGGGTGGGTGCCCCCAACCCCCTGAGCGGGGCTGGCGTGGTGACGGGGAGCCCTGGGGGTGCCTTTCCTCACAGGCACAGAGCTCCCGGGCGGGCTCGTCCCCTCCCTGGGGAGCTGAGCTTGCTTCAGGCTGGCGGGGGGGCTTGGGCTGGACTCCCCCCAGCTGTGGGGTGTGGGGCACAGGGCCCTTTATCGTGCAAGTGCCCCCGAAAGGAGCGGCATGGGAATGAGCACAATTAGACAGATCTGCTCTGGGGATAGCTGGGCTTGGCAGTGTATGGCTGGCTATACAGCCTGCTGAGTTATTCCTGGGTTGCTTGCGTGCACGCTGAGCTTCTATTTTATTTTTTTGTACTGAAAGTGTTTTTCCTCTAAGTTGATCGAAAGTACGGCTGCCAAGGATCCTGAGCACGGTAAATGCTGAATAATGAGTCCGGCTGCTGAAGCCGATAGAATAGGCAAATCCTGTAGTAGTTAAACTCGCCCGGCTCTCCTCCAAACAGCCTCTGGAGCTCTTGCTCTGTTTCAGAAAGCAAAACAGCAGTGTTTGGAGTCAGAGGAGCCGAGAGCTAATCAGCTGTAGTGGAAGGGCCTGATGACACGCACATTTCGGGCTGCCTTGTCCTTTAAGGGAAAAAACTGCTCGGCAGCGGGCAGTTGCAGGAAATCAGCAGGCTCAGGCTCGCTCTTGTTTGGGTGAGCGGGGCAGGCGCTGCGCCCGCTGCAGCTCCAGCAGCTTTCCGGGCTTGAATCCCCTGAGCTTGTAGGTGGTGGAGAAAACACCTCTGTGGGATGTTTTGTTGGAAGAGAGCAGGCTAAAATAAACTCGTGTGGTGTTTAATACTGGTGGAGATGTAAAAGGCTGGTTTACAAGGTGGATTTCTCTCGGCTGGCTTGCCAAGCGCAGGCTGCTGGTTGCTGCGCACTATCGCGTGGCTGCAGAGAGGGGTTACAGTCGCTACTGGAATGCCAGCCTTGTAAAAAGCTTGTTTGATCAGCTGTTGGCTTAAATTACTCAAAACCACTTAAAGTTTATTGAACGGTTCATATGTAAATGGTAGTACAATCACAGTAGGACTTGAAAAGTCAATTACTGCAACTTAAGCACCTGCTGACTGCTTAAGCAAAATCTGGGAAGGCTGTAATCAGGCGGGGTGTTTCTGATGTTTAGGTACACAGCATTTTCCTGGCAATCAACCCCTGGATGTCCAGACTGTAGCAAATACAAAACCCCGAGAATGTAGAAGCCACCGTGGCTTTTTGATTATTTTTTCCCAGGAGCTAAATAGAGAAATACATTTATGCATAGCAATAGGTCGTCTGCAAGAAGCAAGTTGTTACCGTGAACTGTAATATTTCATCAGATGCCTGCTTCCTAACTGCTACGGGGCGCCGATAAGGGTCAGGTAGCACCCATGGTCGCTGTAAATTAAGGTTAACTATTTTTTCTGTTGGCTGACTTGTAATTGTCCTCGCCACGTAGTTTCCTTTGCTCTCCAGCTCTCGGTGTGCGTTCTTCAGTGTCGCTCCCCAGTTATTAAATACAATTTCTTGTTGTTTTTCCCAAGCGTCTATTTAAGTGTATCGCAGAGCTCATTTGGCTAAATGCAGGCAGCAGGTTGTTTGTCACCTGTCCTTTCGCTCACCTCGGTCACTGCTGCTCTGTGCTGGTGGCTGCATTTTGGTGCGGGGACAGGGACCCTGGGAGCAAGGCACCTCTGCAGACACTGGGAGTTAAAGCACCCAAGCAGCCAAGGACATGCACAGGCTAAAGCTGGAGTAATTCTGGAGTAATTGTGGGCTTTTTTTTTTTTTTTTTTTCTGAGAAAGGGATACTTTTTAACCCAGACAGATTGTGGGGCACATTTTAAGGATGAGGAACTTCTGCTTGCATGCACAACTGGAAAGATTGGAAGTCTCAAGGCACAAAGTAACCTTTCAAAAATGTAAACAGCTCCCCAAAATGCAAGAGGCAGAAAACTTGAAGAGCTCAGAGCCAGATTCCTTGCATTGGTCTACTTGGTTTATAAAACAAAGAATAACTTTGGGTTGGTTTTCAGTGTATTGAACTTACTGCAGAGAGAAATTTTTCCTGCTGAAGTTGGTGGTGACTCCCCACTGACTCCAGTGGGTATAATTTTTCCACCTGGTTTCTTAAAGAAGCAAAGTAGGTGTGAGAGGGGGAAATGCTTCTCCTCATTCGCAGATGGGACAATTTGATCTGTACAGGTAGTTCTGTGGAGTAGTTGCGCATTTGAAATGAGTTTGCCAACGCCAGGAAAATAATCTGGTCTAAAATCTGCAGTTTCATTGCTTCCACACTCAGCGTGCCTCATCCTCGGCACTGTCCTGACTCGCAGGGAAAGCCGCCTCCTTTTGCCAGAACTGTGGCTTTGCCTTTCTGAATTTTGCTTATTCTTAAATAGGGCTGTGCAAAGACCAAGCCCATGGGAAGGTTATAAAGTGGCTATAACTTCGTAGCACTTTGTGTAACTACAGCATTAACTTCTGATGGCTCCTTGTATTTGCTGATCAGGTTTATATGAATGGCTTTATTTTATATAGAGGAACACCCGTAGCCTTAATACTGGAGAATTTAATCACCCAAATTAAAATCCCTAAGCGCTTTAGTGCTTCCCTGGCCGTGCAGCCAGGTGTGGAGCAATGTGAAGCAATCCCTCCGTGTGCCGTGCAGGGAACCCTGCGATGCCCCACCCTCGCTCTGCAGGGGAATGGGAAGAGCCAAAACAGCCGAAGCAAAACCAAAATAATAATAATAATAATAAAATACTGAACTAATGCCATGCAAGAGAGCTGCGAGGGAGCTGAGGACACCTGAGACAACCTGTTTGGGAGCAGGGAAGCTGGGACGTGCTGGGGCTGGCTGCGTCCCCCCAGCCGGGCTGGTGACTCAGCCCCATGCCTCCGTAGCATCTGTTTGAAGTTCTGAAGCACAGAGGGCTTAGCAGACAGGCTGCAGCCCTGCTCATCCCTTGTGATAGCATCTTAAAGACCAGAGTGAATATACCCCAGCAGCCGGCCTTTTATCTTGCGGGAGACACGGCGGAGAGCCCCGCAGGCTGGGCAGCTTTGCTCTCGGCAGCTGCCTGTCATTTGTTTGAGAGGTTCTCCTTCAAGGTCTGGGGCACCGTGGGGCGCAGCCGAGGGGTGACAGCTCTGAAGATGTGACATTCCAGGACTGCGCTGCTAATCTCATCCTCCACGTTGCCAGCTGCTCCCCCAGGTACATAGGAGGGACAGCGAGAGAAGGCAAACGTGCTCAGGGAATTCACATCTCCAGCCTCGGCATTTTTCTGCATGTATGTGCAAGGTATGACATTAAGAAACCTGCACTTACTCTCAGCCTGCATACTTAGCATTAAAGTGCATTTTTTTTTCTTTTTTTTTTTTTTTCAGTCTTGCCAAAGCATTGCAACATAACAGCATTTCAAGCTCTAATGATTTAAAAGGTGTTCCAAATGTCTCCTTCTTTACCCAGCCCTGCGCCTGGCATGAGGTTCTCCTACTTTGTCCCTTTGGAAAGTACACGGTGGTGTAATCTCTGCCTCCCTTAGGAAGCTGGTGCCTTGGTATATGGGAATCCTGTGATATTAACCCAGCAAAGCACGTGGATGCTCTTACAGCAGCAAAATTATGCTCTGTAGTTGTTCATCACAGGAAAGTTGCCACCCCTCCCTACCCCACAGCAAAACGAGTTATGCCAGTAAGGCTCCTCCAGCACACCCACGTGGGGCAGGTATCACATCTCTCCACCGCTCTCATCCACATATTTATGCAGGCAGCAGCCTTTAGCGTGGACCTGCCTCTCGAGTGGATTTTGCTTGTAGCAGTGCGGTGATTATACAGTTGGGCAGGCCAGCATTTCCAGATGCAGCAACATACTTCACTTCCACATATGAAGCAGCAGTATTTAAAACCCCTGATCCGCCCTTGCATGACCCATTTGCCTTTACTCTCTCCTGCACCAGTAGGGTGGAGACATAGAAAAGCTGGTTCCTCTGGTCATCCCAATAACAGCACCATTTTAGAGAGGGGAACCAGGACATTCTTGAAGTCTTTTTTTTATTATTATTATTTTTATTTATTTTTTTATTTTTTTATTTAAAGGAAAATCAAAGTTAATGCAGGAAATTTTTGTTCCTTTTTGATTGCTGAAGATACCCTCTCCCACTGCTCAGGAACCACTTTTTGTGTACAGAGGGTGCCAGCTCACTGCTCTGTCCTGGACAAAAAGGCATTAACTTATTTTTGCTCGTGCTAAGGCAGCAGTTAGCAGCACCACAGCTGTACCCTATCTGTTGGAACATGCTAAAATGCCACTGCTCTGTTTTGAATAGCAATAAGAACACTTCCAGAAGTGCTAATACTCTGTACCTCTGTATCTCAGACAAAAAAAAAAAAAAGCACATGGGTTTACTGGTCTTGGTTGCTTTGCTTTAAACTGGCTAGCATCATGAAATATTTGTTAAATATCAGTCCCTGTAAGAGCTCTTGCAAGGCTGAGCTGACAGTTTAGCAATCACATATCATAGCTGGAAGCAGCATTTCTTTCCGCTAAGCTGTATCCAAAAATGTAGACATATTTCTCATATTTCTTTCAAAACCATGTTTATTTCTCATTTGGCAAACTCCTTGTTTTCCTACAGATCTCATTCACAGCATGTTTGCAAGTGTACTAAGACAGCCTGCTTAAAGACAACCGATGCTAGCAAGTCCTTAGTCCTGTCCCCAGCTCTACATGTGGAAGAGAAGTAAACTAAAAATTATAAATTAAATAAAAATTCTCAGTAATAAACTAAAAACATTGTGCTCTATAATAATTATTTCAAGGCTCACAGTATTGAATAGAGAAGATCTTGTCTGTAGCTAGGCTGTA